TAAATCTTCTCCTTTGAGTTTACATGGAAATAGTGTGTGACCTCTGACCCCTCGTGTGTGCCGTGTGCAGAGGTCTGGACATCCCTGCGGTGCAGGTCGTCATCAACCACAACACCCCGGGTCTCCCCAAAATCTACATCCACCGAGTCGGCAGGACGGCGCGAGCAGGTAAAACACAGTCCAATCATTTTGACACATCCACAATATTTCTGTGTTTGTGTGAATCTCGGCTCGAACGTCCCACTGGCTCCAAAGTCCCGGCTCACACGTCCCATTCTCTCGGGAGGAATGTGCCCAAGAGGGTGGGGGGACGTTCTCGCCGCCTCGTCAGTGTGAGGTTCTTCATTATAAAATCAGCTTTTAGAATCAGAATAAAATGAAATGTGAAAGTACCAGACCAAACGTCAGGTCTTGTTTATGTCATTTTACTGATCTTCTTGAAGCCGCACACATTTATTCAATATAATCCTCATTTACTCACAGAACTTTACTATGAAATCTTATTTTAAATCATTTTTTTGTGTTCCCCATCTCCCAGAGCCTCTGTAACTGTTGATTTGGGAGGAAATCTTCATTATTTCTTTACCTGTCATGAACATAATTTGTAAACAGAGCAACACAAAGAAACTTAGAAAACTACAGAATTTGTTCAAAAATAATTCAGAAACACTTTTTTTTTTTTTTTTTTTACTTTTATTGCTACAAATCAATTCACATCAACAGTGTCCTGAGTCCAAGCCTTCACACAATTTATATATTTACTTTTTTTTCCCTTCTAGAAGAAGAAAAGAGAAGAAAAAAATTGCAAAAATGAATAAAAATGAAAAATAAGGCATGTTAGGGCAAACATGTTTTATTTGAAAAAGTCAGTGATTAGCTGTAGTTGAGCCGTTCACACTTCAGAATCATTTTGAAGAAGGTTTTAACTCTGTATTTCATTTAAATGTCAGATAAAATCCTGAAATATTTGCTGCACATCATTTTTGCATGTTTTTTGTATGAATGAACAAATGTGTTGAGGTAGATTGTAACTTGTGCGTGTTCAGTAAGTAATGACAATTTATTTTATTATTATTATTTTTAAATATTTGTATCTCAATGAACTTAGTTTGATAAAGGAACAATTCAGTGGGACTTTCCAGCTGCTTCCTGTTTGGGTGTTTGTGTTCATCACTTCATGTTTCTGTGGTTTTATGTTTGTGTCTTTCTCTTCTTCATCTCTTCTTCTTCTTCTTCTTCATCTCCTCGTGTTTGTTTTTGTGTTTTTCAGGGAGAAACGGCGTCTCCATCACTTTAGTGACTCAGTACGACATTCACCTGGTTCAATCCATCGAACAAAACACACGTGAGTCCTGATGTACATCTGTCTTCTACACACCTCCTCCTCCTCCTCCTCTTCTCTCCTCCTCCTCTTCTCTATTCCTTTTCTCACGCCCTCCTCTCTTCCTCCTCCTCTCCTCTTCCTCTTCTCACAACCTTCTCTCTCTTCCTCCTCTTCCTCCTCTTCTTTCCTCCTCCTCTCACGCCCTCCTCTTTCCTCCTCTCCTGCCTTATCTCCTCCTCTTCTCACCTCCTCTTCTCTCTCTTATCTCTTCTTCTCTCTTCCTCTTCTCACCACTTTTTCTCTCATCTCTCTTCTTCTCACCTTTCCTCCTGCTCTCTCTTCTCACCTCCACTTCTCTCTCTTCTCTTCCCTTCTCTTCTTCTTCCTCTTCTCACAACCTCCTCCTCTTCTCTCCTCTTTCTTCTCTTCACTCTTTCCTCCTCTTCTCATGCCCTCCTGTCTTTCTCCTACTCTTCTCTTTTCTCTCTTCCTCCTCTTCTACTCTCTTCTCTCCCCCCGTTCTCATGCGCTCCTCTCTTCTTCCTCCTCTTCTCACAACCTCCTCCTCTCTTTCCTCCTCCTCTCCTCTCTCCTCTTCTCACAACCTTCTCTTTCTTCCTCCTCTTCTCTCTTCCTCCTCCTCTCCTCTTCTCTCCTCCTCCTCCTCTTCTCACAACCTTCTCTCTTTCTTCCTCCTCTTCTCTTTCCTCCTCCTCTCCTGCCTTATCTCCTCCTCTTCTCTCTCTTCTCTCCCCTTCTCTTCTTCCTCTTCTCTCAACCTCCTCCTCTTCTCTGCTTTATCTCTTCCTCTTTTCTCTCCACTTCTCTCCTCCTCTTTTCTCTCCTCACCTCCTCTTCTTCCCTCTTTCTCTCGTGTCTGTGCAGAGACCAAACTGAAGGAGTTTCCGGTCGACGAAAAAGAAGTGAATAAAATCCTGACCCAAGTGAACGTGACGAGACGCGAGTGTGAAATCGTACGTCCTCTTTTCCTCTTTTTCTTATAAACCTTTAGAAATGTTTCAGCGCGTTGACGTTTGTTTTCACTGCAGAAATCTGGGACAACATTTTCTATTTTATTACCTCCAATAAAAAAAAAAACACCAGGATATCGAGCGAACCGATACCTGGACCAGTATCGGTATCGGTGCGTCCTGAGATTTAACAAAAACACCGAAACATGAACTGACAAATTCTGTATTTTCCAAACCTTTCGAGCATCAGAAGTCGCAGAGTTTTTCTATTTTTCTGCAGAATAAAACAGGAGAGTTTGAAATGTTTTTTGTGTTTTTGATTATTATTTTTTTGCTCGACAGAAACTGGAGGCGTCGGATTTTGACGAGAAAAGAGAAATCAACAAAAGGAAGCAGCTGATCCTGGAGGGAAAGGCAAGAACTGACGAGAATCTCTCTGTTTATACTTAAATACAACTTATTATTTAAAATCTGGCTCAGGGTTTTTAGGTTTTAGGTTCTAAACTAGTTTCGATACCAGTTTTAAATCCGTGTGTTGTTCGTTCATTCGTTTTTCAAAATAAAACCAAAAATAAGAAAATGAAAAAACTTAATTATTTTCTTCTTCAAAACCAAAATGAAAAAAACAGATAATGATTCGTTTTTTCAGTTTTTGATATTTTGTTTAAATGAAAAATGGAAAAAATGGATAACGGACTAAACCAGAACGAAAACTGGACGAAAACTGAACTAAACTAGGTCTAAAACTGGAGTAAAACTGGATTAAAACCAGGACTAAAACAAGGACTAAACCAAGTCTAAACCAGGACTGAAACAGGACTGGACCAGGACTGGACGTCGAGATGGGCCCGCATAGACTGTCGGGTGATCGGGACTGAGACCGGGACTTAGACCAGGACTGTGATTAGGTCCAGACCAAGATCAGACCGGGGTTGAGACCAGGACAGGACCAGACCAGGACTGAGACTGGGACCAAGATCAGGATTGAGACCAGGACGGGACTGAGACCGGGGCTAAAACTGGAGCTGAGATCAGAACCGGACTGGGACTGAGACCGGGACCAGGACCAGGATTGAGACCAGGACGGGACTGAGACCGGGGCTAAAACTGGAGCTGAGATCAGAACCGGACTGGGACTGAGACCGGGACCAGGACCAGGATTGAGACCAGGACGGGACTGAGACCGGGGCTGGAACCGGGACCAAGATTGAGACCAGGACCAAGACTGGGACTGAGATCGGTTTAGTCCTGGTTCAGTCCTTTATCTGTTTTTTCCATTTTTCATTTAAACACAAAATCAAAAACTGAAAAAACGAATCGTTGTCTATAATCATAGTTTTTTATTTTTCTTATTTTTGGTTTTATTTTGAAAACCGAATGACACACGGATTGTTTTAGTTTCTGATTTTCTGTACGAGTTTTAACTAATGGCCCTTAAACACTTCATCTGTTTTTTCCAGGACCCGGACTTGGAGGCGAAGAGGAAAGCCGAGCTGGAGAAGATCCGGAGTCAGAAGAGAAAGTTTAAGGAAAAGATCCAGGAAACGATGGAAAAACAGAAAAAAGCCCAAATCAAAAAAAACATCCGGAAACGGCGAGAGAGACAAAAGAAGAACAAGGCCAAAGCTGCAGCAAAATGACACTGGACTCTGGACCTGAGGTTAAAGACTCTGAGGTTAAAGACTCTGAGGACAGGGGGCGCTATTGTGCTTTTCTAAATCAACTTAAAAACAGAGCTGAGATTTAAATCTGGATTTCACTGAAGACCATAGACTTTAAGAGCCCATTTTGTGCCTTTTTCTAATGTAAAATGTCGTTTCCTCGTCACAAACAAACCTGGAGTTGTGTTTTTTTTCGCTCACAAGTTTAAACTCTCAAACCTGCAGATTTACTCTCGAGTTCTTCTCTCAAACTCAACAAATTTGGTCAAACGGGACGTCCTTCGTGGTGTTTTCAAACTCCACACAGACCTGGTTTAGACTAGAATTGTTTGGCGATTCCAAAAGTGAAATTATCCAATCACTTTTGAATTAAACCTAAAAAAGAGATGTTCACTGGAAAACTACAGCTTCATGACATCACGAGGTGGAACAAAGCATGAAGTGTAACATGAACCTGCCCAGAGACGACAGGTGGACATGAGCTCTGCTGCTACGACCTGGAACAAACCTCTCTCCTGTTGAGGTTCATGTAGATTGTGCACTGTCCCCGTCTCAAATTAAACTGGAGATGTAAACACTCATAATAGTTTTACTCAAACGTGTGAATGAAACAAAACAACTCCAGCTCTGTTTTTGTTTTTGAGGGAACAGCGTTAGAACATGACTTAAACCTCACCAGTCCATTATTTTGTGATATGTAGAACTTTTAAACTCATCCAAGCTGCTTCAGTTCAGTTCAGAACCGAAGAACTGAAACAGTTTGGATGAGCGGCGAAACATTCAACCTGAATAAACTTTTGTCCAGTTGAGATTGAATTTGCCTGGACGACTGAGGGATTTTACACTTCAGAGTCTAAAATTCATAGTGAAAAATTTCACAGTGATCCGATCTAACCTAGTAACAAACAGAAAACGGTGCACTGGAGCGATCTGATTGGTCAGAATTCACCTCATTATAATGTCAAACCCCGCCCACAGATGAGAACAGCCAATAGCACAAGAGTCAAACTCACATTGAGCCAAAATTTAAAACTGGGATTAAGTCGTGGGCCAAACTAAATATTTATTGAAAAATTTGCAAAAAACATCTGCATGTTTTCTCTTCTTTCGAGATATGTAAAGTTAAACCTTTTCTTATTAAAATGTTTAGTAATAATTTTGCTTAAACATTGAATCCAGAACAAACAGAATATAAAATAACATTTTAAATAAGTCATGTCTCTATAGTCGATCTGTAGGCGGTGGGCAGCTCTAATACAGATTTAATATGATCTTGCGGGCCAAATATAATTATATCACAGGCCAAATTTGGCCCCTGGGCCTGAGTTTGACTTGTCTGGCCAATAGGAAACCACCTCTGTCCTCTTCACAGGATCAATGCTTCTGTTTTGGCGTCTTGGATCTTTGCTGTGAATTTTTACTCTGTAGTTTGACTGTTCAGTTTGAGGATGTGAAAAGATCTGTACTGAATATTTAAAAGGTGACATTTTAAGTATACTTTTTCAGTAACTAAAATATCAAAAATGTTTTTTCAGAGTTAAAAATTGGGAGAAATTCAGCAGTATTTAAAATTCAAAATCCCCAGAGTCCCCTGTTCTGGCAAATTTATCCAAGAATTGTCCCAATTTTTGACAAATTTCATCCCTTCCAATAGTAAAAAAGAGGCATAAACTATCATTTGTTTATGAAAAATACAAAAAAGCTGCTTAAAAACGACCAAAACACACAAAAAACCTGACTAAACTGACTCATTTTCGTCACGAATGACCAGAGAGCAAAATAATTCTCTTTAATTCCGCACTCGTTTCACAATTTTATTATCACCAACCTCCAGAAATTAAGAGTGCCCCAGTTTTTTTATTTTGAAAATCTGCTCATGTGGTTTTCAGTCTCAAAACACCTGAAACTGTGTAATATTTTAGACAACAAAGACAAATTGTACATACATATATTGAAGTTTGTGTGTAATTTAATGATTTTGCAATAAATGAACACATAAAAACAAAAACAAAAAGCGTGTTTGTTGCATGTTTCGCTTTTATTGAATCAGTTACAAGGAGAATCAAAGCTGGAACTTCACTGCAAAATAAGGAACTCGTCCAGAATGGTAAACTATAATTACTCTAGCCCACTGATTTCAATACGGAACCTAAAGAATAATAAGAAGAATTAAAATCTACCCCAAAGTCCACAGCACAACTCCGGTCTAACTCTACGGAAAAGCAACATGTCCCTTTAAAGCTAAAAGTTACATAAACGAGCCACTTTCCAACGAGGCCGTCACGTTTTCCGTGTTTTCCCGACGGCGTGATTGTCTGCGTCTGAAAATATGGTACATTCTTATCGAGAAGAGAAAAAAAAAAGCAAAAAAACGACATTACAATCGCCGGAAAGTAGCAAAATAAAGCGGCTGACCGGCTAAGCGTCATTCCTACGGCGACGAGTTCAACGAAACGCGACGGGAAAAGGCGGGAATTCTATTTTTAAAACACGAGTTCGTGGCGTTTAAGTGCATATGACGGGTCCGGGCGTTAAATTTCACTAAAACATTTTTAAATTTGCGAACATAGTGTAAAAATCTCACGTCGTTTTGTGATTTTGTCGACGTTTATGGTTTTACTTCTTGACGAAACTTAACGAACAAGCGTCAAAACGGGAATAAATTACGCAGAAGTTCTGATTCCACTCACACAAATAAATAACTACACTTTTATTTTGTTAAATGAAGGTTTAACGTGTCAGAAAAAGTCTGTCCTTGCGCGTTTTTAAAGTTTTAAAACGCGTCGCTACTTCGGGATTTTTGTTCTTTTCTTCTCAACTTTTCTCCATAAAAAATGCCACTTCGAGGTTCCGTATTACGACGTTTTCCGATGTTTTAATGTCGTTTCTTCGTCGCAAACAGACCTGGAGTTGTCGTTTTTTTCCACACAAACACTGTACGTTTAGGCTGAGGTTACGAGGGAATACAGGAAGTGCTCCACTGTGTTTTTAAACTCCATATTGACCCGGGACAGTCCCAGTTTTGAGCCCCCGTCTCAGCAGATTTACACAAAACCACTAATTTGTCCCAGTTTTATACAAAAAATGTCCCAAATGTCTCTATTTTTGACCAATAATAAAGAGCAGAGGTGCACAAAAATATTGAAATACCGACGTATCGTATCGTTTTATGTGATGATTCAGTATCGATGTATCGCCGAGACTATTTTTATGCGACACATTTGACCTTTTTCGCTGTTTTGATGATTAAAATGTTTGTGTTTCTTTTTAACTTTGCATAAGAAGTGATTTAACATGATTTAGACTTTATTTTTCACGGAACTGAATCGAATCATATCGTATCGAATTGTACTGAATCAAAAGTGCACGGTATCGAAAAACGTATCGCATTCTGGCAACTTATCGGCAACTTGACGAATCACAGCCCTATTGACGATTAGGGGTGTGCAAAAATACTGACATATCGAAATATCGTATCGTTTAATGTGATGATACAATATCGATATCACGGGCTGTTTTATCGATATATCGCCAAGAGGATTTTTTGATGAATTTTACTCAATTATTTTGTTATAGAGCTTCAATTTTGTTGCTTGTTTAGCGGAAGGAAACTTATTTATGCGACACATTTGACATTTTTACCGTTTTGATGATTAAAATGTTTGTTAAACCACTTTTTGTGCAAAGTTCATCTGAAACACACAGGCTTTTAGTGTCACAGACATGAATTAAACTTTATTTTTCACAGAACTGAATCAATTAAAAATATATCGTATCAAATTCTACTGAATCAAAAGTGCACTGTATCGAAAAACATATCGTATCATTGCAACGTATCGGCAACTTGACGAATCACAGCCCTATTGACGATTAGGGGTGTGCAAAAATATTGAAATATCGATTATATCTTATTGTTTAATGTGATGATGCAGTATCGATATCGTGGGCTGCTGTTTCGATATATCGCTAAGAGTATTTTTTTTTTTTTGGTTTATTAGACTAAATCATTTTGTTACAGTTTTTCATTTGACATTTTCACTGTTTTGAGGATTAAAATGTTTGTGTTTCAAATGAACTAAGTGGTTTCACAAAGACTTTTAGTATCACAGACATGATTTAGTATTTATTTAGTATTGAATCATATCAAATCAATTTGAAATATATCGTATCGAATTGTACTGAATCAAAAGTGCACTGTATCGAAAAAAGTAACGTATCGTGGCAACTTAACGAATCACAGCCCTGTTGACGATTAGGGATGTGCATAAATATTGAAATATCGTATCGTTCAATGTGATTATATAGTATCGATATGTCCCCAAGAGTTTTTTGGGGGGATATTTTAGTAAATTATTTTGTTACAGCTTCATTTTCGTTGCTTGTTTAGAGGAACGAAACTTGTTTGACATTTTCACTGTTTTGATGATTAAAATGTTTGTGTTTCATATGAACTTTGCACAAGAAGAAGTGGTTTAACAAAGACTTTTAGAATCACAGACATGATTTATCCAAACCTTTTTTGCTCCTTTTACAAAATAAAAATGCCAAAGAGCTCCTCATTTTCACCGTCACAAGAAATGTATTAAATCTACGAGCCACGGCTTTAGATCGGGTACAGTTTGATGTTCACACGTTTATTTAGTGCACAATGTTAGTGATCATTTAAGTTATTCAAGATAAATAACTCGGGGACAAACTGGCAATCTGGAACATTCTAGAAAAGTCCAGAACGGCCGCTCGACTGTGGGTCCAGGGACGTTTTTTTGGTCCCACTCGGCCCGACGATACGTATAATTCTACTGCTGGCTTCTAATGACTCCTAATTTAGTCTTTATTTTTGACTGAAGCGTTTCGAAACGATTTCAAATATATCGTATCGAATCTAAAACTCACTGTATCGAGGTTTGTATCGTATCGCCAACTTCTTAATAATACCCAGCCCAGGTGAAGAGAGCGTAATTTGTTTGGGTAAAAAAGAAAAAAGCTGCTTAAAAACTACCAAAACGCGAAGAAAACGTGACTATACTGACTCATGTTGATCTTCCCAAGAATCATTTGGACAATTTCAGCTCTGGAACTGCCAATTTTTACTGAACTAAACTCGAAAAATCGCTTCATGACATTTTGACTCATAAAAAAGAAACAAACGAAACAAAACACAACTCCAGCTCTGTTTTTGCCGAGGACACTACTACAAACCCGACTTAAACCTCACGAGAGTCCGTTATTTTGAGTATTCTCCGACTTTTAACTGACACGAAACTACGGAAACCGGTCATATGCACTTCAAAAACCCCACAAACGAAAGGATTCTACGAAAGGATTTACGTGACGCGGGCGAAATCGTCTGTGCACGGACCGAACCCCCGCGATGCCGAGTCGGCGGAGGAGGGAGGGTCTCTGTGCTCTACATTCACACGCCCGCCCGGACGCTTTTGGTTAGAGGCACTGGCTTCGGTTCAGCATTCACGGTTCGTTGGCGTAGAAATTGTGTAATCGTCTACACAGGTTTTTTTCTTTTTTTTTTGTTGATTTTTGTGTTGTTTTTTTGGAGAGTAGTAAATCGAAAGCGTTGAGAAGGCTGTAAAATGAGCTCGTGTGGTAGGAAACGTTTGCCCTTTGAGTAAATCGGCGTTCGTTTGTAAAAGTTGAAGTCTGTAAATCCATTTCAAAAAGGTTCTGCAGATGTTTCCTCAAAAGTTGTGGTCTCCAAACAGTTTTACTCGAAAATTTTGACTAAAAACCAACAATTTTTATAAATTTTCTAGGCAAATTGTGTAACTTTTTTCTGCGTTGGATCTGTCAAAACGCTTTTCTGAACGGAGTTATAGTTACTGCTTTGTCTGGAATGTTCCGTAATATGGCTTTAAACCTTTCTATCTTCATCGAGACCAAACCGGACCAAGGTGCGGGTCAGATCTGCGGAGAGGCATCCAAGCTCACAGTCAGAATTCATGTTTTTCTAGGTATTTTTGACGGAATTCAAACACATAACTCAATAAAAGCGACACGTCTAATGCCATACTTCGGAATATTTCAGGTAAAAACGGTAAAATCTCCAAGGAGACAACCAGAAAAGTTACATGGTGAAGCTTTAGGCCACAAGATGAACCCAGATTGAGTTTAAAAATGTATTCTCAATTCATACTTTTATAATTTTGCAGTAAGTCTGCATCATTCTGGTTATATCTAAAATTAAAGGTGCATTGCGTAACTTTCCTGGAGGAGAGTCCGTCACCTGGTTGTCTATCGTCACAGAGACCAAGGTACAGGTCAGATCTGTGGAGAGGCGACGCCGTTCAGTCACAATCCCTGTTATTTTTCGGTTTTCGGCGGGGTTTTTTGAGCTAAAAATCCACCTGTAATTGAATAAATGTAAAGTAGAGCTGTTTAAAGTCACACTGCGGAACATTCCAGGCAGAGCAACGACGTATCCATAGAAACGAGCAAGCGACGGACCCCAGAAACGAAAAGTTACACAGCGCACGTTTAAGTATGGTGTAGTTTTTGGATGTCTGTGGGCAAAAAATGTAAAAAAAAGTCACCATTTTCTTTGAGCCTGAAGATTCTTTTTTTTCGATGACCTCGCTTCGCTGTGATTGGCCGAACCCACCTGTCACTCACACGGACACTGACCGAGCCCGGCCAATGGGAGGAGCAGGTGAGCACGGAGCTGTAGTATTGGCACCAACCAAAAAAACAAACAAAAACAAAACACCACGTAATTCAGGAAGAAGGTTCTACATTCGATTTGGTTTTCATGCAAACACGACAAAACACGTCAAGTCCTCCAGGTAAGACGGTCCAGACCAAGACTAGACCGAGATCTGGAGATGGTCCCACTGCTCCCGACACGTTTAACCCGGAGACACTGAAGAACGGGTCAAACGCAGAGGAAAAGAACCACGAAAATCACCAAAATATCAGATAATCAGGGCTCACGATTCAGTTTTTGTCACCTGGAAATGGCTTTTAAAGGCCGCCACACGACAGGATTTTTCCGACTCAAAAGATTTTTAAACAGACCTGAGGAGAATCTTACGAGACTTTAAATCTCCGATCGCAAAGACTGCAGCGGGATCTGTCTGCGGACCACAGGATAAGAAGCCGTGAGTGCGATCTCGTCAAAACGATCTCCAAACTCAAATAATCGAGTTGAAACTTGAAATTTAAAGCTTAACAAACTTTATTTTGGGATTTTTTTTAAATATAAATCAGTATATTTATTTTAGTTTTCAAGCATAGAGATTGTAGAACAGCTGGATATAGTGTTTATTTTGGACACGTTTTATGTTTTATACGTCGCAAAACTGTTTTAAGGTTCATATTTGTAGCTGATATTTATTTTCAGTTTGAAAGTTTTGCGTAAATTATCAATAACAAAGTGTTTTTATGAGAGAGAAACGCTGAATAAATGCATCGTGTAACTAAAAACTAATCGTGATTTCAATATTGACCAAAATAATCGCGATAACCGCACTCGTAATTTCGACACGAGTCAAATCTGTGTCGTTATTATTTGTAAAATGTGGAGCAAAACTTCCGATACAGGATTTTTAAAGCGTAAACGATTGGAGATAAAGTCCACAGGAAGTAGAATCTCTGCCGTTAATCTGCAGTTTCAGCTCGATCCGTGCGCCGTGTGGATGTAAACAAACACACGAGGGGAACTACTCCGGCCTTTTTACTTTTCAACAACGTAAAAAAAATTGGATTCACAGCGCCATTTTGTTTATTATTTCCAGACAAATTCTATGGATAATGTGGACGAGACGCTGCAGTTTAAATTTATAACTTTAAAAGAGGTGAGGGGAATAAAGTCTTCTCATTATTTTTGCATTTCCCGAGTTCGTGTCTCGCTCCTTCTGCCCCTGACGCTCCGTTTTATCGTCTGTTATCGCAGCGTTTCTGATGTTCGGTGTTTACGATCCGACCGTGATACCGATACCACACACACAAAGTCAAAAAGTCGGGTCGCGTGGAGAAGAAATCGCCGCCAAAATCGTGCAAATTCTCCTTGTTGCGTGTGGCGGCCTTTACTGAAAACGATCCACACATTCGCCGTCTCTGCTCCGTCTCCGTTCGCTCTTCTTTGCGACCTTTGAAAAACATCTGCAGGAACCTGATCTGCTCTAACAAACTCCCAAAAAATTTACACTTTCATGCTCCACACTCGTGCAGGTTGGACTGGCTTGGAGTTTCGAGCCCTGAAGCGTAGAAAATATGGCCTCTCTCCTCTCGCCTGCCTTAAGTTGTGCTTGAACCTCCTGCGCTTTTTTTTTTTACTCGCTGATTTTTGCTTTTTAAGTCGAGATAAACATGCACGCAGCTCCCTTCGGGGTTTGTCATTTAAAACGCAGAAGCAAAGAGAGAATCGACCCACAAACCCACCCGGAGTTTCAAGTTCAGAAAAATTAGGAAAAAAATAAATCGCAGACACTTCAGATTAGCGCGGTGCTGGTAATGTCTCATAGCTTTCGTTTTAGCAAAGTTGTGCTGTGATAAAAAAAGACTCCACAGACCGGAGGAAAGTCCGCGGGCCGTGCCTTGGACAGAACCGGCCTTGGACCGCTGCCCCAAACGTCACACGCGAAGCCGCCGTTTCCAAAAGCAGCTCAAGGTCTTTCAGTTCCAAGGCAGTTTGTACAAATCCGAGTTACCATGTTTTCTCTTCCTCCAGAAAAAGACGCTGCTCCTCTAATCTTCTTCTTCTTCTCCTCCTCTTCTTGTTCTCTGCTGCTGAGGCTTGGGATGCGCTTCACCCGGGTTCGACCGCCCTCCGCCTTCGTTTGACCCGGATCGGGGTGCTGGGGCGGCGCGGGGATGGGCGGGTGTTCGTTATGTTTGGGAGTTGTATCCGCGTTCCCGCCGGAGACTCCACGGCGTTGGTGAGCGGCGCCCTCTGCCCGTCTCCCCGTGTCGGTGCGGGCCCACGCCTCCGTGTAGCGCCCCCTGTCTCTCGTCTTCTGTCCTACAGTCGTCTCGCACGCAGCTCATGGTTTGGTTTCGCATTGCCGCCGGCGACCGCGCGGCGGGTGGTGCTCTCGGATGTAGCAGAGGAAAACATGTATCCATTTTATGTTTTTATTATTTCTCAGATTAAAAAGCTCAGACGATCTAAGCTCCGGTCGGGCCGAGCTCCATCTTCCATCACCTGCGGAAAAAACACACGGGTCAAGTACACGTCAGGTGTACGTCAGGTGTACGTCAGGTGCACGTCAGGTGTACACGTCAGGTGTACGTCAGGTGTACTACAGGTGTACAGTACAGGTGTACGTCAGGTGTACGTCAGGTGTACGTCAGGTGTACGTCAGGTGTACGTCAGGTACACGTCAGGTACACGTCAGGTGTACGTCAGGTGTACGTCAGGTGTACGTCAGGTACACAGGTGTACGTCAGGTGTACGTCAGGTGTACGTCAGGTGTACGTCAGGTACACGTCAGGTACACGTCAGGTACACGTCAGGTACACTAGTCAGGTGTACGTCAGGTGCACGTACAGGTACACGTCAGGTGTACGTCAGGTGCACTACAGGTACAGTCAGGTGTACGTCAGGTGTACGTCAGGTGTACGTCAGGTACACGTCAGGTGTACGTCAGGTACACGTCAGGTGTACGTCAGGTGTACGTCAGGTGTACGTCAGGTACACGTCAGGTGTACGTCAGGTGTACGTCAGGTACACGTCAGGTGCACGTCAGGTACACGTCAGGTGCACTACAGGTGTACGTCAGGTGCAGGTGTACGTCAGGTGTACGTCAGGTGTACGTCAGGTGTATGTCAGGTGCACGTCAGGTGTACGTCAGGTACACGTCAGGTACACGTCAGGGTACACGTCAGGTGTACGTCAGGTGCACGTCAGGTGTACGTCAGGTGTACGTCAGGTACATATTTCTGATATACTACAGGTATAATCCTGTTATAGTCCTGTGTCTCCTGCTGAACATTCCTCCATAGACATACATGCAGAACGCTCCCAGCATGATGTCACAGTAAAATATCTATAGTAGTACCACTCTAGTACTGGGACAGTCCTGTAGTAGTAGTACTTTGACAGTAGTACTCACTCTAGTACTGGGACAGTCCTGTAGTAGTAGTACTTTGACAGTAGTACTCTAGTACTGGGACAGTCCTGTAGTAGTAGTACTTTGACAGTAGTACTTTGACAGTAGTACTCACTCTAGTACTGGGACAGTCCTGTAGTAGTAGTAGTACTTTGACAGTAGTACTTTGACAGTAGTACTCACTCTAGTACTGGGACAGTCCTGTAGTAGTAGTACTTTGACAGTAGTACTCACTCTAGTACTAGGACAGTCCTGTAGTAGTAGTAGTACTTTGACAGTAGTACTCTAGTACTGGGACAGTCCTGTAGTAGTAGTACTTTGACAGTAGTACTCACTCTAGTACTGGGACAGTCCTGTAGTAGTAGTAGTACTTTGACAGTAGTACTCACTCTAGTACTGGGACAGTCCTGTAGTAGTAGTAGTACTTTGACAGTAGTACTCACTCTAGTACTAGGACAGTCCTGTAGTAGTAGTAGTACTTTGACAGTAGTACTCACTCTAGTACTGGGACAGTCCTGTAGTAGTAGTAGTACTTTGACAGTAGTACTCACTCTAGTACTGGGACAGTCCTGTAGTAGTAGTAGTACTTTGACAGTAGTACTCACTCTAGTACTGGGACAGTCCTGTAGTAGTAGTAGTACTTTGACAGTAGTACTCACTCTAGTACTGGGACAGTCCTGTAGTAGTAGTAGTACTTTGACAGTAGTACTCACTCTAGTACTGGGACAGTCCTGTAGTAGTAGTACTTTGACAGTAGTACTCTAGTACTGGGACAGTCCTGTAGTAGTAGTACTTTGACAGTAGTACTCACTCTAGTACTGGGACAGTCCTGTAGTAGTAGTACTTTGACAGTAGTACTCACTCTAGTACTGGGACAGTCCTGTAGTAGTAGTACTTTGACAGTAGTACTCACTCTAGTACTGGGACAGTCCTGTAGTAGTAGTACTTTGACAGTAGTACTCACTCTAGTACTGGGACAGTCCTGTAGTAGTAGTACTTTGACAGTAGTACTCACTCTAGTACTGGGACAGTCCTGTAGTAGTAGTACTTTGACAGTAGTACTCACTCTAGTACTGGACAGTAGTAGTAGTACTTTGACAGTAGTACTCACTCTAGTACTGGGACAGTCCTGTAGTAGTAGTACTTTGACAGTAGTACTCACTCTAGTACTGGGACAGTCCTGTAGTAGTAGTACTTTGACAGTAGTACTCACTCTAGTACTGGGACAGTCCTGTAGTAGTAGTACTTTGACAGTAGTACTCACTCTAGTACTGGGACAGTCCTGTAGTAGTAGTACTTTGACAGTAGTACTCACTCTAGTACTGGGACAGTCCGGTCACCCCGTGCTGATAGGCTCTCTCGCCCTGGTAGGTGGAGTCCTGGGACAGGGCCACGTCCATCTGGGACTTGAACTCGTCTCCGAGGTAACTGTCCTGGAGACACAGAGACCAGACCAGAGTGACCAGAGTGACCAGAGTGACAACAGGAACTTTAAACTGCACTACTACAAGAACACACAACAAACATACAGGAACATAAATATTTAAAGAGGAACTGAACACCTAAACTCCGCCCACATCTACACTTCAAACAGCGTGGTTAAACTGAGCGAGGTCTGGAGGACTAAAGGGGAGAGTGAGTCCTGAGTGATGTCACGTAGTACTTGAACTGAGATCAAACTGTTAAACTAATACAAGAATGAAATACATTTTGGAACAACACAGACACTGTCATGAGAGACACAAACAGGTGTGATGGTGTGAGTTCTCATACAGCAGCAGGAGGAGGACGAGAGTTTGTTTTGTTAGTTTTGTTAGTTTTGTTTTGTTAGTTTGTTTTGTTTTGTTGTTTTGTTTTGTTTGTTCGTACCTGCGAGAGCTCGGGTTGGGACAGCCCCGGTTGGCTCATCTGAGAGGGTTGGCTCATGTTCATGTAGCCCTGAGTGAGGGGCCCCTGGGAGAAGGGCTGGGAGGCCCCGTCCTGACTGGCCTGGCTGTGGGGGCCGTTCCCCTGAGCCCCGCCTCCACGTGACCTCTGACCCCGACCGCGGCCCGGCTTTCCCTTCATCCCGCCTTTCATCCCTGACACGGGAAACGGACAAAGAAGGTTTATGATGTAACGCGACTGGACCATGTGACACAGAGATTCTTATAAAGACACATGTTCCCCAGTGCGGCATTAAACCCGTGCTCTGTACCTGCGGGGCCGTTGGCGTGGCCCATGTAACTGGGCGGGGGCATCGGGGGCATCACCAGGTTCAGGGGGATGGGCAGGTTCATGGCCATGTGCCCCGGTCCTGCCCCGATCATCCCGATCTGATCATGGGTCTGGAAGTACATGTTAGAGGGACGTCCCGCTGGAAGAAGAAGAGGAGACGAAGAGGAGACAAGAGGAGAGGAAGAGAGAAAGAGGAGACGAGAGCACAGGAGGAGAGGAAGAGGAGACGAGAGGAGAGGAGAAGAGGAGACGAGAGCACAGGAGGAGAGGAAGAGGAGACAAGAGGAAGAGGAGACGAGAGGAGAGAGAGCACAGGAGGAGAGGAAGAGGAGACAAGAGAAGAGAGAGAGAGAGAGAGAGGAGACGAGAGGAGAAGAGAAGAGGAGACAAGAGCACAGGAGGAGAGGAAGAGGAGACGAGAGGAAGAGGAGACGGAGACAGGAGAGAGGAGAGGAGACGAGAGAGAGGAGAAGAGGAGACGAGAGGAGAAGAGAAGAGGAGACGAGAGCACAGGAGGAGAGGAAGAGGAGACAAGAGGAAGAGGAGACGAGAGGAGAGGAGAAGAGGAGACGAGAGGAGAAGAGAAGAGGAGACAAGAGCACAGGAGGAGAGGAAGAGGAGACGAGAGGAGAGGAGAAGAGGAGACGAGAGGAGAGGAGACGAGAGGAAGAGGAGACGAGAGGAGAGAGGAGACGAGAGCACAGGAGGAGAGGAAGAGGAGACGAGAGGGAGAGGAGACGAGAGGAAGAGGAGACGAGAGGAAGAGGAGACGAGAGCACAGGACGAGAGGAAGAGGAGACGAGAGGAGAGGAGAAGAGGAGACGAGAGCACAGGAGGAGAGGAAGAGGAGAGGAAGAGAGAAAGAGGAGACGAGAGCACAGGAGGAGAGGAAGAGGAGACAAGAGGAAGAGGAGACAAGAGGAAGAGGAGACGAGAGGAGAGGAGAAGAGGAGACGAGAGCACAGGAGGAGAGGAAGAGGAGACGAGAGGAGAAGGAGACGAGAGCACAGGAGGAGAGGAAGAGGAGGAAGAGCACAGGTGAGCATTGGGTTTGTCTACAGGGAAAAACTTAGTACAAGTGATTTTGGGTGGTTTTGTTTCTATTTAATTTGACTCGTTTTACTGTTTTAGGACGGGTTTGATCAAATTTTCAGCAGTTTATCCTTTTCGTTGTCATCATTTTATTATCTCCGTGCAGCACTTTGGAAACTGCTTTGTTTGTAAAATGTGCTGTAGAAATAAAGTGGATTTTAATTTGGATTTGAAGTGGAGAGAGATTTCCCAAAACCACAAATTTATGTAGAAAATATGCCATCTGACAACATCCTGGACATATTTGCAAATAAAAGGAAGTGTCTTGTCAAAAAAAAACAAAAAAAAACTCATCTGTGTCTATTAGTGCTAATGATGAACCAATGTTAAATTTGTTGTCAATTTCTTTAACGTGATTAAATAACAACTCATTGATTTATTAAAGACACCCTGTTACATTCCTATCCGTGGGTTACTGGTGAAATTTGCCACAGTAATAAAATTTCAAACTATTGTTCTATGTTTTGAACAGCCAAAAATCCTTAAAACTTACGAAACTTACGCATGAGAAGCTTTTGCAAGTTGCGTATTGCTATGTAAGTTATTATGATTTTTAATAATTATGATTCCAAATGTCAATTTTCAAATCCTTTAAATGAAGAAGTGCTGGCAGATTCCCAAATATGAGTTATGAAGTTCACGATAAACACAAACTCTTACGTGCGCTGGAGCGGTCGTAGGCGGAGCCGGGGATCAGAGCCTCTCTGGCGTCGTACATGGCTGTGCTCATGAAGCGCCCTCCCTGAAAACACACACACATTATTATTATTACACTGATTTAACACAGATGACGAGTGTCAGAGCTGCGGGCGCGTGGCTGGAGCACTCACGGGGTTGATGGTGTTGAGCAGTTTTCGGGGTTTGCTGAACTGCATGAGACTCTCCCTCAGGTTGTTCAGGGGCCCCTCCACCAGGACCTTCTGCTCTTTGTAGTAGTTCAGGAGGTTGTTCCACAGCGGCTGCTTCGACAGGGCCTTGGGGTTCCCCACGATGATCACGCCGTACCTGCCGACCGGGAGGTGAGGAGAGGATTGAACTCATCACATCCAAGAGACAGAAATCATGAGGCTTTCAAAAAGGACTGGACCAGGACTAAACCAGGTCTAACATCGGACCTATAAACTAACCACAAACAGGAATTTATACAATAATAAACCACAGTGCTGCTCCAAATAAATATATAGCAACATTTTAGTCCAGGTTTTGACTGTGGCTGCAATATTTTCGATAAATTTTGTTGAGAAAAATCATTTTATTTCAACATTTTTACCTCGTACAGTTTGTGTACAAGTCACTTTTGTCATGACTTAATCTTTAAACAGTCATCTCTTATCAGTATTTAGATGTAAGTGTGATAATGCAGGACTTTGTTGACTATGGGGAAGAATTTTAGACTAATCAAATGTTGAGAACTTCCTCGTCATCGGCGTTTGTCAGTCAACAGCCCCACAAACCCCGTCTCTCTCTTTCTCTCTCTGTGTGTTGTAGTTCTTACTTGGCTCTGGTGAGGGCGACGTTGAGGCGGCGCGGGTCGTTGAGGAAGCCGATGCCCTGGTGCTCGTTGGCTCGGACGCACGACAGGATGATGAAGTCCTTCTCTCGGCCCTGGAACGCGTCCACGCTCGCTATCTCCACCTGCTGCGGGGGGGACGACACGAGCACGCGGTTACACAAGGCCAGGATTCTGCGGGAAACGTGTGAGGAAGTCCCGCCCACAGAGGAGACACCGGGAGGAGAGAGGATCTAAACTCCTCACTGAGACCAATAAAGTTTGATTCATTTCCCTGATGTCTGCTCCTGAAGTCTCCCTTAAGTTTACTCCTTCATTCTGAGGTTTTCTTCAGGACCCCGCTTAATACGACAATGAAAAAATTGAGGATCGAGGGGAGGAATCAAGGAGAAGGAAGCGAGGAAAAAGAAATGAGACGCGGCCAAAGTCTCAAACGGTTTAGGGTGCAGCAGCGGCGCATCTCCAGCTGCTGCAGGGAGGATTAAGGCTTGAAGTGAAACACCAAACACTTTGTTAACTACGTCTGCGTTCAGACTGCAGAGTGAAGTGACCCAAATCTGATGTTTTTAACCCCTATGTTCCTGTATCTGATCTTTTAATGACAGTCTGAACCACACAGACCTGATTTGTTCAAATGCGACCCAGGACACACAAGCTACGTTCAGACTGCAGGGCTTAACGCTCAATTTGGATGTTTTTTCAAGCTCGTTCACATTTCCAGTTAAATGTGACTTGTATGTGACTCCAGTGTGAACATTAAACGGCCCGAAAGTGTCCCACATGTGACACTGGAGACACGACGACGTCAACCGCAGCGAGCGTCTCTGTGTTTACACAAGTTGTCCAAACATGGACGCAGCATCGAGCACCTGGAGATTTTAAAGTTCCTCTCGTACCGGAGCCACAACATGAACAACTGACTTGTTTTAAGGAGGAGATTGAGAAGGAGAAGGACCAGGTTTTTGGTCGTGGTGTTTTGTGGTTCAGTCCGTTGAAAGGAACGTGTGGATGTGGAGACGGAGCCAAGAGTGGTGAGTGGAGATGTGCTTCACTTCAGTCACACAGAGTTCATTAACAATTTTCGCAGGACGAGAAGAACGTTTGTGTACATTTGTCACTTGTTGATAACGTGTAGGTGGATGAATGCACTTTGACCGTTCACACTGAAGTTGTAAAGACCACTTAGGTCTTCACCTTTATCTATTCATTCAGTTGGGTGAAATTCTTATTTGTTAACATTATTCTGTTGTGTATGGTCCTTTATTTGTGGGTAAATGCCATTGTTTCAGGCGATATCTGTTTATTGCGCCCTCCCCGGACGCACGGGGATTTAAGGGGAGAAGGACGCACGCGCAAGAAGGCGTACAGGTGTGACGTCACACGCCGTTTTGGACGCCTGCCAGGAGCTGTCGGTGCCGTGGGACCACGTTATTGGAATATTGTCGCTGCATTTTTGGATTATCGCGTTGCCAATCGTGCTGGAATCTTATTTTACCACGGGAGCTGCTGGACTGAGCGTCAGAACCGGAGCGCGGGTGGCGTGAGTAAATCGCAAACTGTACCGTCTCACGTCACGCTGCCGCGCAGCGGGGGGGAAAGACTTTGGGAACTTTTGGGGGAAGTTGCTCGGGACTGTTGTGGGTGGTGGACTATATTGAACTGTTGTTTATTGTTTTGTTGCACTGGGGTTTGGGTTTTGTGTCTGGGTTTTGGGGATTGGGCGCTCGAGCGCGGGGTGGTGTTTGGGGGGTATTGTGTGTCTGGTGTGGCCGTGTTCGTTTGTGTCTGGCAATGCCAATAAACGCCAGATAGGCCAAAGCACTTATTTTTTGCATGTCGTTATTTCATCCCGCTGAAATGAATGGGTCCTCCCGCGACCTTAATTTAGCGTTGTAGCTTTTCTCTTGGCGAGAACAGGTGAATTGTTACAGAGTCACATGTCAAAAGATCAGATATGTATCGGTTTTAGGAGCACATATCCAAGTGTCCTGTGTCGCTTTTGAAAAAATCTGATCTGTGTCGTTCAGACTGTCAATAAAAGATCAGATACAGGAACATAGAGGCCAAAAAATCGGATTTGGGTCCCTTCAGGCTGCAGTCTGACCGTAGCGTAACGTTGGATATGTGCTCCTGAAACCGATACATATCTGATGTTTTGACATGTGACTTCAGTCTGAACGGTCAGGTCACATTCATCCACCTACAGCCCAATGACGACGCCTTTGCTCACTGAAATAGGCTGCTGAAGACGTGTTTCCTCCTGCGAGAGTGTTTCAAGTAGGTGCTCACAAATGTTCACAAACGTTCTTCTCGTCAAATGAAAATTGTGCCTGAACTCCGCATCAGTGAAACAGTGAAGCACATCACAATTCCACCAGTCTTGTCTGCGACTCTGCACCCACACGTCCTTTTCTACGGACAAAACTCCACAAAACTCCACGACCAAAAACCTCGTTCTTCTCCTTCTCAGTCTCCTCCTTAAAACAAATCATCTGTACATGTTCTGGCTCCGGCACGACAGCAACTTTAAAATCTCTGCTTCCCTCTGGTCAGAGGCTTTTAGTCCCAAGATCTAGAACAAATCATTTTAAAAGGAGCTTCGTTCCGGCTGCTGTCGTACTTATGAATCAATTGTAATCTATACATCTAAGATGGTGTGTTTTTAACATATTTAATATTTATTGTGTTTTTAGTCAAGCATGATTCATAAATTTAACTAATTGTTTATGGAACAAACCATTCTGCACTGGAGCACTATAACACTTTATTTTGTAATTGTGTTTTTATACAAGTTTTGTATGAATGAATGAAATGTGAAATGTGGGGCCTGCCTCTCAAATCTGCAAAGCAAATTTACCTACGGGTACGAATAAAGCGACCGAACCTAACCTAACCTTTCTCCAGGCTCGATGCTGCGTCCATGTTTAAGTTTCGCTGCTGTGATGTTGTCATGTCCTCTGATGCTCATGCAGGACACTTTTGGGGTGTTTAAAGTTCACACTGGAGATCACACAGAAGTCACATTTAACTGGAAACCTGAACGACCTCGTAAAAAAATCTGATTTCCCCAAAAAATCCGAAATGAGCGTTAAGCCCTGCAGTCTGAACGTCGCCAAAAAGTCTCTAAAACAAGCATCCAAAACCGTAACCTTCCAGTGCGGCGTTCCCCTGGACCAAACAGAACTCTGGGAAGTGTAGTTTGGTTCTTACCTGGTAGAGTTTGGTGTGCAGGGAGCCGCTGAACTGCATGTACTGGACCAGGTAGGAGCGCTGTCCCTCGTACGGGGTGATGATGCCGATCTGATCCGGTTTGGCTCCAGCTTTCAGCAGACGAGTGGTGATCTTCTCCACGTTGGCCGCTTCAGTCCTGCACAGCGAGAAAACTCAAATCAGAAAAACCCAGCGATAAACAAATGGACAAGAGCGGGCAGGATCGCTCAGCTGGGCATTTGTCTACGTTTATATACACCTTTAAGTCATAAAATGAACTTTACTGACCCAATCCCCAAAAGTATAAGGTAGGTCTGCGCGATATGGAGCAAAAAACATATCTCGATATGTGTACGAGAAAAATAACTCCCCAAAACTACTGCAAAAATAAATACGCCAAATTCCACAAGGTCTTTTTTATTGAAGTGCAAGAGGTAGTTCAGGTAGGAACAAAGTGCTTCTGATACATTCAAGATTAGGAAAAATGTTTGATTACATAAATAATTTAACCGTAAAATAAAAGAAATATTGTCTTCTTTTCATTCATAAATAAAACAACTCAACTCAAGCTCATCTTTGCATTAACTCTGTAACTGTAGGAGAACCATGAGCTCCTTTAACAGAGGAAGCTCAGGATGTTCATTATTTAACAGATCCATGTTCCTCACCAGTTTAAGACGCTCTGAGGTTTAATCCCACAATCCACTGCAGATCAAACCCAATGCTTCCAAACACTATTGTACAAGTGACACTGCAGCAGATTATTCATTAAAATCTTCTGCATAAATAAACTTTACAACATAAACATAACGACCTAGAGCCACATCAGCCTGTTTGAGATTATAATGTGTTTAATTCAGTTTTGCGCACACGTGTTTACATTTTACAGAAAGGAAAGTTAAACCGCATGGCTCATTTGCATAAACGGCTCTTTCCTTGTGCGCTGATGCGGTTCAGCTTCTGTCGGACAAATGGACACGACTCAGTGGAATATGAGTGTTCTCTCTGTGACAGAGGATGTGCTGCTGATGGTTTTGTCTGAAAATGGTGGAAAAGTTTCATGGTGCTAGAAGCTTTTCACTGGCACCAACTTTCAGCGTTCACGGCGATAGTGACAAGTGAATGAAACAAACAGCAAAATCATTGAGGCTGGAGTGCGCGAGGGCGACGACAGAGAAGGCAAACAAGCAAAACGGCAAAATCAGAATTGAATATATGCATTATATCGATATCTACGATATGTCAGAATCCATATCGAGTTTAAAACATAACTCAATATATTTAAAATATTGAGATATTGCCCACCCCTAGTATAAGGTTCAACATTTATGTCTATTTGAATATTTCGTGCCTGAAGCGTTGAAGTGGCCTGTGCGGTGTCTTCTCACCTGTTGAGGTAGGAGGTCCCGGAGCTGGCGATCTCCTCCTGTCCCTGAGTCACGTAGAAGAACATGGGTTTGTCCGGCTGCGGCCACTGGAAGTCAAAGCCTTTCTTTATGCGATCGGCTGCAGCAAACAAGAGACAGACGTTATTATCAGAGCACGCGTTATTGTTTAGACAGAGAGAGGCGGAGAGGAGTGTGTTTCGGACCTGCCGTGACGCCGTTCTGCAGGGAGCCCTCGTAGAAGATGTTGGAGGGGAAGGCGCTGAGGGCGGGGTGCATGCGGTACTGCACCTGGAGCCGGATGGGTCTGATGCCCAGGACCACCAGACGCTCGAACAGAGACTGGGACAGACCCGCTTTGGCCGCCTTCTTACACATCACCACAGGACCCAGCTGGCAGTGATCGCCCACCAGGATCAGCTGCACCACACACATACAAACACACGACACGGTTAGAGTCACACAGGAGGTCAACTCGAGCTCAGTGAGACGCAGGGTTAGAGTCAGACGGTAGAACAGAGGCGATATGGACAAAATAAAATGTTATGATGCTCTACAGCAGGGGTGTCAAACTCATTTTGGTCTGGGGGCCGTATCCAACCTACTTTGATCCCAAAAGGGCCGGATCAGAAAACTCATGTCATATAAACCCCAAAAATAACAATAAGTTCAAATGTTTGTGCAAAGAAACACAAATCTATTACAGAAATCTTTTTTAATTGATGAACTCTTTCTTATTATAATATTATAATATTATGAACAACCTGAATCTTTAAGAAAAATTCAATTTCAACACAAAGTTTTAACATGAACTTGTTTGCAAATAGGAATAAGTCAATTTTTGTTGTAAAATCCTGCACTCGGCTCCACTTTTCTCATGTTGGACATTTTTCTGATGAGGGTGTCACGGTCAACAGTCAAAACGATCGTCCTTTAAGAGCGTTTGGAAAGAGACAAGTCTTCATTTGTGCTGCTCTGGTGGGAGGGGCCACGTACAGAGACGCTGGAGACGCTGCTGTGATAAACACCGCAGAAAATTACCAATATTTTAATAGAAAATATAATTTAAATATTTTAGTAGAAAATCACCCAAGGGCCACATTAAAGATCTTGGAGGGCCGGATCTGGCCCCCGGGCCTTATGTTTGACACCTGTGCTCTACAGGGATGTAACAAACCAAAATATCATGATATCGTATCATCAAAGTTCTCACAATAACATCGTGGACCATCACAATATATCAATTTATAAGACTCTTTGCTGAAATGAAGAGTTAAGAAAAGGGAACTACACAGACCATGATCCTTTGCTCCATTTCAGTGCAGACGACAAGAAGAAATAACAGTTCTAACACTTTAGTTCTTTGGATTAAATTTTGTCGAGGCGTTTTAAGAGGAAAAAGTCACATATTCACAGTTTTGTTTGCCTCCACAAAATATCGCAATAAATATCTACACACACACACACATATATATATATATATATATATATATATATATATATATATACACCGTGAGCTGAATATCATGTAAATATCGTACAGAGAGATTTGGATATTGTTGCATCTCTAATCGTGAGCCTCCACACCATATGGCAATAAATATCGTACCGTGAGATGTTTAGCGTGAAAATATCGTGCAGAGAAATTTGGATCTTGTTACATCCCTAATCATGATCTTTCCCACGATATCACAATAAATATCGCGCGATATCGTGAATTTTCCATGACTTTACGGCTCCTACATGTGTAGAACTGATCAGACTTTTTGGGCTAAATCTGAAATGTTTAACTCTTTCCACTCACCTTATGGTTTGGGATTATAGTTTTTGAACATTCAAAATCCTGTCGGTGCATTTACGTCGTCTCTTTTAAACAAAAGGTGCAAATGTTTGGAAATAATAAGAATAGTATAATGAGAATTTAACAGAATGCTGGAGTTGCATGAAAAGAGACAAAAATTCCATGACTTTTCCAAAACTTCTATTGAATTTACAAATTTCCATGAGTTTTCCAGGATTTCCATGACGTGGGAACTCTGTACATTTGTATAAATATCTAATTGTAATTGCATATTAACTCTGCTTTGCAAGTATAAAAGTCAGGAGTGAATTTTATAATAATTACATAAAAATAATCCTCCATTTCACAATTTTGCAATTTTTTCTAATTCTTGATTAATAAAAACACAAACACTGAGGCATTTTACACCAGGACTAAATACATTTTAACCTAATAAATGCTGAAATAAGGTGAGTGAAAGCTTCTAGAATATTTTAAAAAGTGTATTATTGATGAAATTCAGACGTGACATTTGCAACTCAGGTCAATGAGATTTAACTGTTTTTGTTCTAAAAACGTCTTATTTTGTTTGTGGTTAAGAGTTTATAAAGTCCAGATAACAATTACGATTACACATATTTGACTTAGATTATTTTCTACACGTGTCTGATTGGCCGTAGCTCTGTACCTGTTTGGCCCCGAGCACCACGGGGACCATGCACTCGGGCTCTGTGGCCTGAGTGCTCTCGTCGATCAGAATCGAGCGAAACTGCATCTTGGCCAAACGAGGATCTCCGGCTCCGACGCAGGTGCAGCAGATCACGTCTGCGTTCTGCAAAAACATCACAGCGCCACGTTTAACAAGAAATACAGGTCTTATTTTATTTACACCAGAGAAAAATATGAGGAAATAAACACGACACTCATTACATAAACTGATAAAATGTTGATTTATCCTTCAGTGAACTACAGTAGAGCTGTGAATAAATAAGTAATATTACTACATCAGTTTAAAGTCCCAAACTAGAAATAAAAATGTTCTTTCTGGATTGTTGCTGATACCAGTGTCTGTATTTGTGCATTTGTACATGTAAAGTCATTTTAGATCCTAAATTATGAATCATACCAGGTTCTCCGTTACTTCTGGACATTTTTAAATAATGGAAGTGTCTAACTACAGCCCCCTGGTGCTTTTCTGTACATAACAGAGACCAGCAGAGGGCGGCGTACTCACCATGAGCAGCTCCCTCTCCGCGGTCCTCTTCAGAGCTCTGTATCTCTTCTCGTCAGCGGAGGACAGCTCTCCGGTCTCGTCCTTCAGCTGCTGGAGCTTCTGCAGCTCGGGCATGCTGCAAACACACACACACACAGGGAACAGAAAGAGTTAAAGGGGACGTGTTTAATTCTAAAAGCTTCACAGAGCGCACTTTAACACTCGTCTGTCTCCACGCTGATTGGCCCGTTCCGCTCTCACCTGTCCATGTTGCTGATCTGGTTGTGCAGGGCGAGGAAAGACACCGGGGACTCGATGGCCTCTCTGCTCTTGGCGCACAGACGCACCACCTTCAGTCCAGTTTTGTCGATCTTTTCTGTGAGCTGATCCACGGCGATGTTACTGGGAGCACACACCAGCACCGGCCTGGGACACAGAAGGAGGGACAGAGAGACAGAGGAAAGACAGAGGAGAGACAGAAGAGGGACAGAAGAGGGACAGATGAAGCAGGTCAAAGGAGAGGGACAGAGGAGAGACAGAGGAGAGGGAGAGAGGAGGGAGAGAAGGACAGAGAAAGAGGGACAGAAGAGGGACAGAAGATGGAGAGAGGAGACAGGAGAGGGACAGAAGAGGAGGAACAGAGGAAAGACAGAGGAGAGACAGAAGAGGGACAGATGAAGCAGGACAAAGGAGAGGGACAGAGGAGGAGGGACAGAGGATGGAGAGGGGAGAAAAGAGAGGGACAGAGGAAGGAAAGAGAGGAGGAAAGACAGAGGAGGAGGGACAGAGGATGGAGAGGGGACAAAGGAGAGGGACAGAGGAGAGAGAGGAGGGACAGAAGGACAGAGAAAGAGGGACAGAAGATGGAGAGAGGAGACAGGAGAGGGACAGAGGAGGAGGAACAGAGGAAAGACAGAGGAGGGACAGAGGAAGAGTGAAAGAGGAAAGAGAAAGAGGAGGAGGCAAAGACACAATCATTAAAAATATCCACTAATCTTTCAATAAATGCCTATAGTAAATCCTCCAGCCCAGAGGAGGGGGGTTCTTCTCTCGTGATCCGTACCCGTTGCCCTGGCGCGACAGGTGGTACACGATGGTGGCAGACGTGACAGTTTTGCCGGTTCCTGGAGGTCCCTGGATCAGACTCAGAGGCCTCTGCAGCACCGTCTTCACAGCGTACACCTGCAGGACGACAACACACACGTGAAGAGGGGGATTCAATATTTACTTTAATTAATCATCAATGCATTTATGTCACTATACGCTCCTTCAATCCATATTCAAAACCAATTTAATGTAGTTTTTGAATAGAATCGAGCTGTATAAAACCCCCAAAAGTGCACACTAAACGCCCTTTAACCCTTCCAGACCTAAAGGCAATTTCAGTACATTTGCCCTCGCCTGGATGTTTTTCTTAATTTTGCATTTAAAACTCCCCCTTTAACCTCCGAGGAAGTGTTATACATCCTTTTTTATTCACAATCTGCTGCTGTAGTCGTGTCATATGTCTGTAATTAAAGCTACAGGACCAGAAATACACATGAAAAAACAGAATAAAATTCACTCTCTTCCATACAAAACTAACAGCAAACACGTATAAACAACCTTTTGGACATAAAAAAAATCCTTAATTTAGGGCCTTAGCTACAAAAGTGCAAAATACCAAGTCTGTAAGAAAACAAAAAATATCCTTATTGCCTCAAAACAAAACAAAAAAAGTGCTTTACTGGTGCCAGTCATGGAAAGATCCAGGACACAGAGCCAACTCTTCAAGGGGGAAAAAAAAAGTTTCTATCTATAAGTAGAAGTAGGAGCCAGAACCACACACTCTGACTAAACTTTACAAAGATGAGTGGATCTGGAGCTGTGTCCTGTCTCCCTGACCTCAGAGGACGTGATTGACAGACGGATTAACCAATCATGCTCCGTTTGTGTCAAAAACAAACACGGCTGCTTACAGATAAAAACGGGGAAAACTGAGAAGGAAAAAAGCCAGAGAAACAACGCAGATTTTAGGAGAATTTTAGAGAGAAGTCCTCTGCGTTTGAGAGACACATGCTTCAGATTAGCAGCTGTGTTTGGATACTTGTCTAAAGTTTCGACAGATGTTTTTTTACGCTCTACTGTACCACTGTACCATTACACCTCTGGATTCAAACAGAACGTAGAATCCCTGTGAGTGGTTTGGGGCAGGGGTCTGTACCTGTGAGCGGTTTGGGGTCTGTACCTGTGAGCGGGTCGGGGTCTGTACCTGTGAGCGGGTCTGTACCTGTGAGCGGTTCGGGGTCTGTACCTGTGAGCGGTTCGGGGTCTGTACCTGTGAGCGGTCGGGGTCTGTACCTGTGAGCGGTCGGGGTCTGTACCTGTGAGCGTTCGGGTCTGTACCTGTGAGGTCGGTCTGTACCTGTGAGCGGTTCGGGGTCTGTACCTGTGAGCGGTTCGGGGTCTGTACCTGTGAGCGGTCGGGGTCTGTACCTGTGAGCGGGTCGGGGTCTGTACCTGTGAGCGGTTCGGGGTCTGTACCTGTGAGCGGTTGGGGTCTGTACCTGTGAGCGTCGGGGTCTGTACCTGTGAGCGTTCGGGGTCTGTACCTGTGAGCGTTCGGGGTCTGTACCTGTGAGCGGTTCGGGGTCTGTACCTGTGAGCGGTTCGGGGTCTGTACCTGTGAGCGGTTCGGGGTCTGTACCTGTGAGCGGTTCGGGGTCTGTACCTGTGAGCGGTTCGGGGTCTGTACCTGTGAGCGGTTCGGGGTCTGTACCTGTGAGCGGTTCGGGGTCTGTACCTGTGAGCGGTTCGGGGTCTGTACCTGTGAGCGGTTCGGGGTCTGTACCTGTGAGCGGGTCGGGGTCTGTACCTGTGAGTGGTTCGGGGTCTGTACCTGTGAGCGGTTCGGGGTCTGTACCTGTGAGTGGTTCGGGGTCTGTACCTGTGAGTGGTTCGGGGTCTGTACCTGTGAGCGGTTCGGGTCTGTACCTGTGAGCGGTTCGGGGTCTGTACCTGTGAGCGGTTCGGGGTCTGTACCTGTGAGCGGTTCGGGGTCTGTACCTGTGAGCGGTTCGGGTCTGTACCTGTGAGTGGTTCGGGGTCTGTACCTGTGAGCGGTTCGGGGTCTGTACCTGTGAGGGTCTGTACCTGTGAGTCGGGGTGTACTGTGAGGGTCTGTACCTGTGGTTCGGGTCTGTACCTGTGAGGTTCGGGGTCTGTACCTGTGAGCGGTCGGGGTCTGTACCTGTGAGCGGTTCGGGGTCTGTACCTGTGAGCGGTTCGGGGTCTGTACCTGTGAGTGGTTGAGATCGGGCAGGCCCTGGGCGGTGAAGCGTTTGGGGAGCTGACACTTGATGGTGACGTCCTCCACCTCGTGCCCCAGGAGTTTGTGGTAAATGTACCCGGACACGGACGTCTCGTCCACGGCGAACGTCTTCAGGGCGCTCTGCATCCTGAGAGACGAAGAGGAGGAGGAGGAGAAGTCGACGTGTGTCCAACAACAGAACAGAGTAGCAGCGGTGTTGAGAGTGAAAGTAAAGACTAGTTTTCTCCCATTTTTAAACTGTAGATTTATATATTCACCGGTTTCCTTCCTGGAGTTTGAAATTTGGCGTTTTCAATATTACTAACTAGATAAAGATCATTTTCCTTGACAAGTTCTATTAAAATAAACAACCTCTAGACTAGAATTAAGCATCTCAGAACAAGTGAGTAGAGAATAAATCTGAAAACAATGATGAATAACCTGATACAAGTTTTAAAATCTTGGCCAGAAAGTTGCAGTGCTCTCCTCATGAGACACAGGATTTTTATTTTTTTTTCCAATGATTGTCGTCTAAATCCTTAAGACAAATATTTATTCATAGTGGTCAATTGCAATGAGTCTATTTTAGTTTAATTAAAAAATTAAAAGAACTGGCGACCTATTAAAGAAGCAATTTTTTATTTTTTTATAAGACATTTATTTCGGATATTTGCAGCAGAAACACTAAATGTTGTGGTTTATTGTTCATGCTTACACCAGTTCTGAGCATTAATAATGACGACTGCATTTTTAAATTCAATATTAATAGTGTAATTTGTGTTTTAAGATTAGAAATAATGTTAATATAAAGAAGTTATCAAAAAAGTTGAGTGGAAACTTAAATGAATCGTCCCATCCCCGTTACCAAAACAATCATCTATTATAAGTTCCTTTCCTGTTGTTTTTTTTTTTTTTTTTCCAAATAGTAAAACTTATAAACACAAGCAAAATAATAAAAAAGATGTGAAATATGTATTATAAAAACTGTACCTGTCGAAAGACGTGGACTTCCAGACAAAGTCCACCTGGAAGTTGTGGGTGATGTCGACGGGAGCGTTGGCTCCGCTGCGAAGCTCGATGGCGATTTCATCTCCATAATCTTTACCCAGAGTCAAAGAAACAAACTGTGGATCTGTGAATCTTTACTGAACTAAAAAGTGAAAGGAGCTATTCACTTGAAAACTACTGATCCATGACATCACAAGTTGGAACAGAGCATTTTGAGCTTCGTAGATGTAGATAAACTAATTATACCGTATTTTTCGGACTAGAAGTTGCTCAGGAGTATAAGTCACATGAGCCAAAAAATGCATAATGAAGAAGAAAAAACATACAAGTTGCACCGGACTATAAGTGGCACTTTTTGGGGAAATTTATTTTATAAAATCAGAGACCGGGAACCGTCATTTCAGAATAAAGCACAACAGGGTGAACAGGCGTCTGGTTTGTTAACGTCACATATGAACAGTTCTTCAGATAAACTCTAACATAAACAACAGAACATAAGTTTAACAAACTCACAATCTCACTCCAAATCACTAAATCCACTGAATCCATTGAATTCTTCATCCTCGGTGTCACTTCTAAGCAACTCCGCGCAACTTCGGTGTCACTGAAGCCCACGTTTTGTCATCCAGTGACTTCCAGGAAAGTTGCACGGTGCACGAACGGTTGCCGTGAAGCGGTGTTCTCCATTCCTGCTTTCTGTCAAGTCCCTCACAAGTTTCTCTCTCACTCCAAACTTTCTTTCTGCTGCTCGATTACCGTTTTTGGCTGCATATTTCACGACTTGCAGCAGGACAGCGGCTTTTTCTGCCAGAGACATGCGCAAAAAAACTGATACACAAGCCTAGAGCGCCGTCTGGAGTCTGAAAATTTGAATATACACCGTATTTTCCAGGCTATTAGACGCGCTCTTAAGCCTCTAACCCCATCAAAAAACGACTTCAGTAAACTACAAATTCGCACCACTCACAGCGCACGCAAACACACACGGAGCAGACAGCGACCGCACAGCGAAACACACCCACAGACACACTCATCACTCCACGCCGACGAGGAACGGAACGGAGGAACGAACCGAAAAAGCGAGCGCGACGTGCCGCTTCTAGACACGACTGAACAACTGAGTCACTGCGAACACGCCGACAATCCGTTGGTCCCAGACACACCCTCCCTACACGCCACAACTGAACAAAGCCCAGAGTCACCGTGAACGAACAAACAAAACCACTCACCCATCACACTGTTGTGTTTCCTTTAAAGTCCCACGCGGTTTATCTGTGAAAAAAGCTCGAAAATAGACCATTTAATGACTTATAATAATTTATAATCCAGAGCACCTAATAGCCTGGAAAATACGGTAAGTCAGAGTATAAGTCGCAGGAAACACACAAACCATGAAAAAAAAGTGCCACTTATAGTCCGAAAAATACGGTAGTCAGTTTTGTGTAATATCTGCCCTTTAACCATTCGCCCACTCCTTATCGCGGATTTTAAACTGTAAAACCAAAAGGATACTGTCGGGGACTTTGATGACGTGCCCGATGCCCTTCCACGGGACGCCCAGGTCTCCTTTGTACCTCAGGCAGATCTCGTCTCCCTGCATCAGCCTCATGTCTGAAAAACACGACGACGAGGAGTTAGAAAAAAAAAAAAAGCAGTTTAAGGAGGTGGGGATGTTGCAGTGTTGTAGTGGAATGGTTAGACACACGATAAGCATGCGGGACACAGACCACCAAACACTGAACACACACACACACAGCGGTGCTTTCCAAACATCGACGAGGTAAAAATAAACGTCAATAAATACTTGTAATGTTTGTGAGTACAGCCAAGTATTGTGACTGCTCTTAGATTTACAATGTATGTTTTATAAGTCAGTTCAAAGTGCCAAAATCACAAATTAAAATATTGGATAGGGCTGCGTATCATTAAGAAGTTGCTGATACGTTTTTCGATACAGTGCACTTTCGATTCAATACGATTCAATATATTTTAAATTGATTCGACACGTTTACGTGAAAAACAAAGGCTAAATCGTGGCTGTGCGCACGTATTCGAGTGGTTTTTGTTGTGGATGCAGGGTTCGTTCACGCTAATCCGACTGAAAATGGCTCCAGAGACGGAACGATCTGGTGCCTCCAGCTCCCAAGAAATCATCCGTGTACAGATCTGATCCTTGACTGTGTGGACGCCTGAAAACACTGATACTCTGATGTAGGAGCTCGAGTCTCGTCCTGATTGGACCACGTCACTGTGATTTGCGTCTTCCCGATTCTCTGGGTTCGTGACATCGGTCATGGGACGATATTGCGGGAAAACAGTTTAAACAAACCAGAGACAAACGGGAAACAGCGGAGCTACGACGACTCGCTAGTGCACAGTCCACAAAAAGACTGTTTTTACTCCTGCCATCTTCCTCAGCTTGATATCTGCCGCTGCAACTTCAGACACGGTTATCAGAACATCCCTCTGTCACAGAAAGAACACTCATATTCCACTGAGTCGTGTCCTTTGGTCCGACAGAAGCTGAACCACATCAGCGACACGAGGAAACAGCTGTTTTTTTGAGCGCTCAGTTTATGCAAATGAGTCATGCGGTTTTAAGTTTCGTAAAGCTGTGTGGATAGAGAAGACTTTTGGACACAGAAACGACGTGTCTGGAAGTAAACCATTTCCGATACGGTGATTCGTTTCGGTGTAAACGTTACCTAAAAGTCTACTAAATCGTTTGTGCAAAATTAATATAAAAAAACGCCCATTTTACTCATCAAACTCATGTTTGTTAAAGTCTAAACATGTTTGTAGAGGTTTAAACTTCAGAGTTCGCAGCTTTTCTCCATAAAAATACAATATTTTTATGTTTTTGCGATTAATCGTGCGTCCTTCCCTACTTTGGGGTTAATTTTTTTCCAGCTTTACAACAGCAGCAATAAAATCTGATATTCGAACACCAGTCAAAAGTTTGGACACACCCTCTCATTTAATGTCTTTTTATCACTGCTTACTATTTCCTGCATGTTCTAGACACACAGAAGGCATCAAAAATATGAAGCAAGATATATGGAATTATGTAGTAAAACAACTTTTTCAGTTTATACTCAAATCCTCACAGAATCCGCCATTTGCTTTGTCCACAGAGCTGTAAACCCTTGTCCTTTTCTTCCTAAGATTCTTTATAAAGTTTCCTTAAATGGTTTTCACTTCACAGCTGTGCCTCAGGGTCAAGGCTTTTTTTTAAAGAATCTAAAATATAAAACATGATAAGAGTCCTTTCACTTTCTCGTTTACTACACTCCATACGTGTTAATTCGTAGTTTTGACGCCTTCTGTGAGAATCTACGGAAATAATCACGAAAAAACATGAAGTGAAAAAGTGTATCCAGAGTTTTGACAGATGGTTTTGTGTGTCAAGAATCCAAATGAAAGCTGCATTGTGTAACTTTTCTGGTGGAGGGTCCGTCAGAAGTTTTCTTTTCTCCATGGACATGTTGGTATTAAGTGTCCTCTGTATTTTTGAGAGATAAAAACATCTGTAATTGAATAAATGTAGGTAGAGTGTCTCAGAAAAGCTACACAGTGCATCTTTAAAACACAATCTCGGCCTCTGAAGTGTGACTCTGTTCATATAAACGTGTGGAAAGCAGCGCTGTAGACGGAGACGGAGACAGAGACAGAGACATGCCACAGAGGGGGGGGGGAGGGAGGTAGATGGTCCCGGAGGGGGCATGTGTCCGGGGAGGAGCACGACCACGAAAAGGGCCGCTCCACTCATGCGAAAGGAGGTACCACAGAAGGCAGCACCTGAGTCCGTCTTGGGCAGGGTAAAGTACGCTATGCGCTTTTTGTTCAGACCCAGGTCCCAGCGGATGGTGATGTTGTCTTGGGTCTGCGACACAAAACAGAAAGAACAGAGAAAAAAAAAACACATTATTATGTTTCATTTGTGTTTTTATTTAAAGTCTTTAAAAAATGGTCTTCAGTGCCTTTACCTTGGAATTTTGTGTTTTAAACTTAAATAATTCCTAACTTTAAAAAAAAGACATAAGTGCTCCCCACACTCTGATCTAACAGAGCTCGCCATCTACTGGCAGCACCGGGAAATACACAGCAAAAACATTTTAAGTAATGAAGAACATGTCCAGACATGTTCATCATTCATGGACTTCTACCTATGATGTCACAATCCCAGGGAATTTTAAACCACATGTTTGAACTGCTCATAGGGAAAAGACTTTTTAACAAAGGAGTAAAGAAACCAGAGAATAAAACTCAACACTCCAGGTATGTTTTAGATCAGGAGTTTTCAAATTGGGTGAATATGAGCCTCCGCTTAGAGTAGGTAAAGACAGCTGAGGAGTACTTTTACTCTGGAGTAAATGCATCTGTTGTGTTCCTGGCAATGAGTTTCATTATATATATTTTTAAAATTCTATTTTCATATTTATTTTAAAAGTGCATTCATACGATTTTTGCAACAACAAATAATTTCCAAATTCATGCAGGACTAACTGAGGCAACTTTTAACATCACTGAACATCAGTAGGTCACCAGGACTAAACCAGGATTAAACCAGGACCAGGACTAAACCAGGACTAAACCAGGACTAAACCAGGTCTAAACCAGGACTAAACCAGGACTAAACCAGGTAAACCAGGTCTAAACCAGGACTAAACCAGGACTAAACCAGGACTAAACCAGGTCTAAACCAGGTCTAAACCAGGTAAACCAGGTCTAAACCAGGACTAAACCAGGACCAGGAAACCAGGACTAAACCAGGACTTAAACCAGGTCTAAACCAGGTCTAAACCAGGTAAACCAGGACTAAACCAGGACCTAAACCAGGACTAAACCAGGACTAAACCAGGACTAAACCAGGTCTAAACCAGGACTAAACCAGGTCTAAACCAGGACTAAACCAGGACTAAACCAGGACTAAACAAGGACTAAACCAAGACTAAACCAGGACTAATCTAATAAAATACAGTTGATTCCAACTCCAAATTGTATTATTAATAAAAAGTAAGTACAGAAAAGTGGGTGGAAGTAAGTTAATGATGAGAGAACATGGTTATGACATGGGTGAAATTTAAATTTCCCATAATATGTATGTGAAAACAAAGACATTTGAATGTCCTGACTGCCCCCGTCCCTGCTCGCTCTGTGGGCTGCGTGTCAAACTCTGTGTAGTTCAAACTCTGTAGGTCAAACTCCGTGTGGTTAAAACTCCGTGTGGTTAAAACTCCGTGTGGTTAAAACTCCGTGTGGTTAAAACTCCGTGTGGTTAAAACTCCGTGTGGTTAAAACTCCGTGTGGTTAAAACTCCGTGTGGTTAAAACTCCGTGTGGTTAAATGTGTGTTAAAACAGACCTGAGACTCTTTGAGCTTCTTGTCGTAGTCGGCCTCGTGTTTGACCAGAGGTCCGAACACGTTCTGATACTGATACGCGTCTTCGTATCTGAGCAGAACCTGCTGAGGCTCTTCGTCCACTCCGGGCTTCTCCAGGTCCTCCAGCGACGCCCCGGGGTTATCCTGCAAATACACAGTTTAGGAAATTATTTATACATATTTACGGAAAGTTTTATCTGAAGCCAATGTTGTTTGGAGGTTTTTGGTATCCGTGGAGATTTTTCAGGTTTTGACCACTGCAAACTGTTTACAATGAACCAGCTGTGTTTTTCACATTTTTAAAAACAGTAAACATCAGACACAGAGCCCTTAAGCGGCGTTTTTGTGCGTGTTTGCGAGAGGCGCGTGTACCTTCCACAGTTCCTCCAGCTTGTTGATCTGCTGCGCCGAGATCTGCCGGGCCCTGAGCTGCTCCTGCTCCGACGGGATCTTGACGAGCCACGACAGGAAGCAGCGGTCCTGGATGAGCGGCTGCCACTGGGAGCTGTCCCAGTTGATGTCCTTCAGGGAGCTCTGACTGGCGCAGGGCTGTCTGTGGGGGACACCGGGCTCGGGTTAGAACATGAAACACGTAGATTTCTCACAATATAATAACGAGAAGTAAAAAAAAAAAAAAAAAAAAACCCACAAAGAACTATGTATATACCGCATTTTTTGACACGCGTAATACTTTTCTATAACATCAGCTAAACAGACCACCAACAGAAAAACACATACACCACGTTCGAGTGCAATATGGGCAAAGTGTCTTGCCTAAGGACACAACAACAGTTTGTGCCACTGCTGCCCCCTTGTGGCACCTGATATTTCCTGCTTAGTTGCAGAGATGAGGTATTCTGAAGGAGGCGTGGACTTTTTTTCCTTATATATTTACATTCGCTCTTGGATAAACATTTTTAAAAAGGGTTAAAGGCTGGACAGAGGATTTTCCGAGGAAAGAGAAATACAGCGATGGTTTGTCCTTTTTCAAATATTGCCCATGCGTGACACTACCGCCCTCCTCCTCCATAGTTCCTGAGCAGAAACGCCTCCTCCCACCTTCTCCTTTACGCTAGAAATCACGCTTGTTTACAGCTGCTGCGCGTTCAGAACTGCAGAACGAATCGCTGTTGAAGTTTCCTGTCCAGAAGTAAGTAAGCGACTGACGCGTCTTTAGTCTTTAGATCAGGGGTGTCCAAACTTTTTTCCTCAAGGGCCAAATATGTAAACACAGATGAAGCGGAGGACCGATCAGGGGCCGTAGACTGGAGCTCAGTACAGTGAATAATTAAAATATGGGTGTGTTTAACACGTTTGAATGAGCCATCAGTCTTTTCATGCTAAGATCCTTAAAACCAAACACTAAACATTAAATATTGGATTTATCAAGGTACAGATTCTCAAAAAAAAACTTGAAATAAAAAGTTAATTTCTAACTGATGCAAGATAATTTGGGCCAATTCACCTGGAAGCCTGAGGGCCGAGAAAAAAAGGTGTGAGGGCCGCATTTGGCTCACGGACCATAGTTTGGACATGCCTGCTTTAGACCCTTCATCTTCTTCATCGTCGGAAGGAATCTCTAAGAACCACCTCAGTTTGGCTTTGCTCCTTTTCCCCTTCTCTTCTTCCTTCACCAACCTCAAAAACGAACTTTCTTTTGCGGCGAACTGGTCGTGGATTCTCGTCCACCATCGCGACAAATTTTGTGCAAACAGCGAGGAAGCTACAGTTCGAAAAAGCCGCTAAGAACCGTCGCGTTGGTCGAGTAAACGGCGTCTTGCGTACGCGTAATGTGTCAGAGGCGAACGTAATCCCAGCTGCTAATAGGCGAGTTTCAGCTGACGTCATTGTTATTAAAAACCCGCGTTGCTGCTGGGAAATATTTTGGTCGGAGGCAAGAAACACGGTAGCGTCAAACACAGTGCGTAACCTTGCGTATTTATTTATCCCCGATAATGGTAAATTCCTGCTGCATTATCGGATGCACAAATAGAAGCACGGAAGAAGGAAAATGTCTTTCGTATTCTGAGTGAAAAGAACCGCTAACGGTGAATTAAACGACTTTCAAACATCCGCAGAGCAAACGTAGAAGATCCTAACAAACCGTGGACTCCAACAAGTTCAACAACACATCCAGACTCTTGGAGGTTTTCATCTTTTCTGCTGTGAATGGCCCAGGAGTTTCCACCAAGTCATTGTGGATGTCGCCCAAGTGAATATTTGTCCAGGTAGTTGGAGATTCTGACCAGAAATTTGGTTTGGTCCAGACTCTTTGTCGGGGTTGAAAAGGAGATTTGTCGTCCGTCGATGTTTATGACCAATTTCTGGTCAAATGGTCTTGGGTCCTCTGCCGTTAGAGTGGAGAAATAACCGGGATCAATACCCTTTACGTGCTTTCTCGCTCCATCCGTCATGTTGAATTAGTGTTTCTTGCCGCCGACCAAAATAATTCTCAGCAGCAACGCGCGCTTTTGTCAACAATGAAACTCGCCTACAGATAACGAGGTAGGGAGGAGGGTTCAGAGCCCCGGGTCTGACCTGCAGAGGAGCACCACCACAGAGTCGGCCTTGGCGGGGATGAAGCCGAGCAGGAAGACGTTTCTACAGCCGCAGTTGTAGCACTCGAGCACCGTCTCGCCCAGGGGCCCGTCTTTGTGCAGAGTCACCTCTTTACACTTCGCACGCACCAGGTGGTTCACGATGTGGCTGCGGACACAAAGACAAAAGGAAATGATCATTTAACAGATTAAAAAAAATCTAAGAAAACTGTTTCCTTCTTTAATCCTGTTTAAATAATAATTTAAATATCAAAAAAATGTGTTGATGTGTGAAAATCGTGCAGAACTTTTGGACAGAATTCTCCCAGTGTGATGTTGTCAGTGTGGGACTCGTCATTTACAACACATTTTTCAATCTTTTCTTGGTTTAAAACAATAATCTGTATTTACAACAGGTATCATCCATGTGATTTTTAAGTTTTTTTTAAAGTTCCTCTGCGACACTGACCTCCCGGACGTGTTTCCTCGGCCGTTACAGAACCATTTCTTGCTGGTGTTGCAGTAAACGACGCAGGCCGGGTCGTGGATGCCGCAGTAACTGAAACGTAAACAAACAGAAAAGTTACGGAGGGAGATTACACAAAAGGAAGAGGCAACCTGACGAACCGGACACTTAGATCAACAACACACAACAGCAAACACACAAGGTCTAAAAAAACACAGATATAAAAATATAAAATAAAATAAAAATAATAAAAAATATATACAAAAACAAATATCTATCGAATAAAAAATGTATACAAATAAATAATAATAACAATAAGAAATAAATAATGAAGCATACTAAATACATAAACAATAAATAATTTTTCAAAAGTCACAGTAAAATAACATACAAATGTTTAGGGACAGAAATTTTAAATAAATAATTTAAAAACAATACATATATATATAAAATTTAAAACTAAATAAATAATAATTACAATTATACAATTAAAAAAATTTTAATCTTAAAAAGTCACAGAAATAACACAAACATTTAGGCACAGAAATAAAAAATAAACAATAACAAAAAATAAAATAAAAGAGAATAAAAATAAAAAATAAAAAAAAACAGTAATAAGAACAATTAAAAAAATAATTAAAAATAAATAGAAAATATTTTTTTAAAGTCACAGAAATTCTAACAAATTCTACAAACATTTATTATTGTCTAAATCTACTTTTCCCAATATAGATTACGGTGCCCGCTACAGTCTAAAAACAACCTGGACTTTAAACATCAGCTTCTCTAAATAATTACGGTGTCGATACTGCAAAAAAAAAGCTGGATCTGATATTTGCTCAGCAGATTTCCTGACTGGACATATAAACTGATGTAATGACACTATTTACAGGTCATAATTAGCCCAGAAAGTTTTAACTTATACATAACAATAATGCAACAGTTTTATACAGCGCTTTTCTGGACACTGCTACGCCCCAATAATTTCCCTTTGGATCAATACGTTTATTGATTAAGTCCAAGTGTCAGTTCTTTTACCTGCAGGCGTGCACGGGCAGGTCTTTGGTGTAGTACGCGTCCTCCTCGTCCTCCTCGAAGTTGAGCTCCTGCAGCAGCTGAGTGGTTTTGGCCACAGTGTCGTCCACTCCTCCGTTGTGAAGCCCGTCATCTGGACCGTTCAACTGGAACACAAAACAGAACACAACACAACGCGGGTTAGTTTTAGAAAAGACGTTTTAACTGCGAACTAAAATAACCAAATATATACAGATAAACAAAGCAGAGGAAAACCAGGGAAGTCAAATTTTAACAGAACATCCACCACGAAAACATGATTAGAACTGATACAAACGGGAATATAATACTGTTAAAGCTCCGATATTATGCAAAAATCGACTCTTGTGAGCTTTAAGTCGTCACACACAGACCTGGAGTTGTGTTTTGTTTCATTCACACACGTTTAACGCACAAACCCTGCGCTTTTTAGGCTCTTCTGGAATTGCGTATCTCCACCGAACGAAAGGTAAAAGGAGCCGTTCACTTGAAAACCACAGCGTCGTGACATCACAAGGTGGAGCAGAGCATTTTGAGGTTTGGAGATGTAGAAAAACAAATAATAAAGAGTAACTAAAACATGTGTGAATTAAACAAAACACAACTCAAGGTCTGTAAACATGGGTAAAAGCTCTCAAAAGTCGATTTAGTGTAATATAAGACCTTTAAATTCTACATAATTGTCTGTAGAGATGTGTATTTTAATATTTTTTTAGTTTATAACCTTTTTTTTTAATTATCTGGAAGTTTCAGTGTGTTTAGTGTGACCAGACGTCCCATTTTTGAGCCCGTGTCCCCTCAGATTTACACAAAACCAGTGATTTGTCCCAGTTTTGTACAAGAAATGTCAATTTTTTTGAGCAATCTGATCCCTGCCAACAGCAAAGAGAGACATAAACTGAAATTTGTTTAGATAAAATACAAAAAAGCTGCTAAAAAACGACCAAAACACAAAGAAAATGTGACAATACTGACACAGAGAGCAGAACAATTCTCCTTAATTACGCGCTCGCTTCAGTTTTATTTTTACCGGCCGCCACAAACCGAGAGTGCCCCAGTTTTTTTTTATTTTTAAATTCTGCTCAGCCTAGGTGTGTTTTGTTATTGTAGTCACGTCCGGCTGTTTTATTCGACTCCATTTGTTTTACGTCTGCGGGATTTGAAGAGCTTAAATGGAGTGTGCAGAGTCAGAATGTCAGCAGCACGTTTGACTCACGTAGGAGCACCGCCGCTTCCTCGTGCGACGCTCCGGGACGGCTGCCTCTCAGATAAATCCAACTTCGTAAAACTGAAATTAAACGCGGCACCGCTTTCTTTCTACATTCTCCGCTCCGTGTAACATTCGTTCTTTTGAATTTCAATCAATAACAAAAAACTATAAAACGGGAAAACAGTTTGACATTTCATTTTTCCGTTTCAGCGTCAAACAAAAAACAGATTTTGACCTCGATTTCCAATATTTAATTTAAAGTTTATTTCACCTAACAACAATAAAAAAAAAAAAAAAAAAAAAACAGTTTCGGAGCCAGTGTTTAAATTTTCAGTTTTCAATTTCAATTCTCTCTGGTTTATTTGCTCCGGACGTTCTGCTGCTAGAAGAAAAATCACCTGAAAAATCTTTGCAATTTTGTAAACAAACATGTCGTCTTCTTTTAGAGTGACGCGTTTATTTTCATAATTGTTGAACTCCACGATGAAAAAACGGGAAGCAGCGATAAACTTTTGTTCAGTTGACATTGAGTTCACACTATTATTATTATTTTTATTTATTTTTTTAATAGACCCATGGTTCACTCACAGTGCTCTGGGAACGTTCCGGGTCAAATAAACCAGAGAGAATAAAATATCAGAATTAAAATGTGATTTGAACAAGAAGCCTGGCTTAAAAAAGGACCAGTGGCTCGACATTATAGAAGAAATATACTCCGTGGAACGACCGACACTTTTTCTACGTCTCAAAGGACATTTCTTCATTAAAAACTGGACAAAACGGTTGAAATATAAACCAAAAAAGAGACTTGACTTCTATATCCTTATAACAATGGAACAGTGCCCCAAGTTTTTGTTTTTGTATTTATTTGTTTGTTTCTCAAAACTTGAAAAACTGAATAAATAAAAAGTTTTAAAAAATATATATATATGTGTGTGATTTGAAATAAACTTTAAATCAAATATTGTAAATAGAGCTCGAAATCTGCTTTTTTGTTTGACACTAAAACGTTAAAATGAAATCACAACCTGTTCTCCTGTTTTCTTGTTTGTTGTTGTTCTCAATTGAAATTCAAAAGAACCGACGGCACACGGACCTTCCCCCTGCAGAGCGTGCGGTTCAGCGGGTTGTTTTCGCGACGTTATGAAACCGCGAGGCGTAGAGTGACCAGATTTTCAAAATAAAAAGCTGGCACGTCCCTGGTTTGTGGAGGTTGGTAATAATAAAGTTGTGAAACGGGTGTGGGACTGAGGAAAACTGTTCTGCACTTGACACTAATGTGAGTCAGTAGAGTCACATTTAGAGGGGTGCAAAAATATAAAAATAAAAATATCAGTCTATCGTATAGTTTAATGTGATGATACAGTATCGATATCGTGGGCAGTATTTTTTGGTATATTTTACTAAATTATTTGGTTACAGCTACAGTTTGGTTGCTTGTTTAGAGGAAGGAAACTAATTTGAGAGACATTTTCACTGTTTTGATGATTAAAATGTGACAAAAAGTGGTTTAACAAAGACTTTTAGTATCACAGACATGATTTAGTGTTTATTTTTTTATTGAACTGTATCGTATCGAATTGAAATATATTGTATCGACTCAAAAGATCACTGTATCGAGGTTTGTATCGTATCTCAAACTACTTCTTCTCACATTCTTTTTGCGTTTTGGTCATTTTTAAGCAACTTTTCGGTTGTTTATTATTTATACTACTTATTTAGAATTTATTATTGCCATTTATATTTTTTCTCTTTGTTATTATATGATATTGTGACGTGTGAGCTCCTGTGACAAAATAATTTCGCTTGTGGATCAATAAAAGTTTGTCTATGTGTAAGTTCATACGTCTCTTTACTGTTGGCAGGTGTCAGATTGGTCAAAAATAGAGACACTTGGGACATTTCTTGTACAAATCTGGGACAAATCAACAGTGTTGGGGAGTAACATTACATGAACCGGAGTTATGTACAAATTATGAGTAACTCTATTCAGTTACAGTTACTGTTTCAGTGAGTGGTAATTGGATTACAGTTACTTTGTTGAAATAAATGGATTACACGGAGGTATTTTCCTGTTTTCACATTTTGGGCTAAATCAGGACTAAACCAGGTCTAAACCAGGACTAAAACCAGGTCTAAATTAGAGCTAAACAAGATCTAAACCAGGACTAAACCAGGTCTAAAACCAGGTCTAAACTAGAGCTAAACTAGATCTAAACCAGGACTAAACCAGGTGTAAGACCAGGTGTAAGACCAGGACTAAAACCAGGTCTAAACTAGAGCTAAACTAGATCTAAACCAGGACTAAACCAAGACTAAACCAAGTCTAAACCAGGACTAAATCAGGTCTAAACCAGGACTAAACCAGGTCTAAACCAGGACTAAACCAGGTCTAAACCAGGACTAAATCAGGTCTAAAACCAGGACTAAATCAGGTCTAAACCAGGACTAAATCAGGACTAAACCAGGACTAAACCATGCTGCGTGGCTGTGTTTCTTCTTCTATCAATAATATTTTTAATTTGGTCAAGAAAAGTCTGGGCTTTTTATTTTCTTTTATCAGACAAAACTTCTTATGTTACGATTCCCTCGTCTTTGTTTCTCTACAGCAAATCAAGTAATCCAAAGTATTCAGATTACATTACTCACTTTAAGTAATTTAATGGATTCTGTTACAAACTACATTTTGGGGTGTGTAATCTGTAATCTGTAGGGGATTACATTTTAAAAGTCACCTTCCCAACACTGCAAATCAATAGTTTTGGATAAATCTGCTGCGACAGGGGGGACACTGGGTTCAAAACCGAGACTGTCCCGGGTAAACAGGGACGTGCGGTGACAGCGGCGAGGCTCAAATCTGCATCTCCAAACTCCCCAAGTGAAGTGCTAACATGCCGCCAACAGTCCCGCATGAGCCCGAAGTAAAGCTCAAAAACTACAGCCGAACCCGTAAACACGCGTCACTGAACACGGAGCGGGTCTTACGCAGCTGCAGTCTGTCTTTGATTGACTCCAAAACGACAGAAAATAGACTTTAACCAGAGTTGTGGCGCGTTAACGTGGTGCTAGCAGCGTTAGCCTGGCGCTGCTCCGTGTTTCCAGTAATAGCGGGTTAGCATTTTAGCATTAGCCTAGCCTGTGCTAACGGTGCTAACGGTGCTAACGGCGCTAACATCACGGGGTTTACGGGGAAACGGAAGCCACAGACCTGCGCGTCCAGCTGGCCCTGCGCGTGGCCCTGCGTGTGGCCCTGCGTGTGGCCCGGGCCCTGGCTCTGGCTCGGCAGGGTGAAGTCGGTGAAGTCGTACTCGGAGCCCTGCGTGTCCGCTCCGATCAGCTCCGCTTCCTCCGTGTCCAGGAAGGTGAGCGTCTGCGAGCTCGGCCCGTACGCCTCCACACTCATGTCGGCTCAACTTTCGCTTCTTTCTCGGGACTTCGTCGGGGTCAGATCTTTCTCCTCGCGTGTACTGAACCGTCTCCTCGTCGCTCGGAGACAAACGGCGCGTCTTTGTTTCAAACCCAAACAGAAGATGCGACGTACGAACGGAACCAGAACCAGGAGCGAAGAGCGCAGCACAGCGCGACGCGACGCTCGGTGCGTCTGACGTCACGTGTGCGTGCGTGTGTGTGACGCCGTGACGTGGGCCGGAGATCCTCCGCGCGAGAGGAGGAGGAGGAGGAGGAGGAGGAGGAGGGGGGGGGGGGGTCACGCAGAGGCTCTTCCGGGACCTGCCTCTGCTCCTGTCTGCACCTGTCTGCTCCTGTCTGAACCTGTCTGCTCCTGTCTGCCTGCTCCTGTCTGCTCCTGCCTGCTCCTGTCTGCCCTGTCTGCTCCTGTCTGAACCTGTCTGCTCCTGCCCTGCTCTGCCTGCACCTGTCTGCTCCTGCCTGCCCTGCCTGCACCTGTCTGCTCCTGTCTGAACCTGTCTGCTCCTGCTGCTCCTGCCTGCACCTGCCTGCTCTGCTCCTGTCTGCTGCTCCTGCCTGCTCCTGTCTGCTCCTGCCTGCACCTGTCTGCTCCTGTCTGAACCTGTCTGAACCTGCCTGCTGCCTGTCTGCACTGTGTCTGCTCCTGTCTGCTCCTGTCTGCCTGCCTGCACCTGTCTGCTCCTGTCTGCTGCCTGCCTGCTCCTGTCTGAACCTGTCTGCTCCTGTCTGCACCTGCCTGCTCCTGTCTGAACCTGCCTGCTCCTGTCTGCACCTGTCTGCTCCTGTAGAATACAATAGAATAGAACTACTTTTATTGTCACTATTCACATCCATGACGAGTGTGAACACGCGCGTGGGACACTTACAACGCAGAACAAAAGAAAAATAGAATAAATAAATAAATATGTAGAACAAGTGCAAGACAAAAAAGACTGGGACCCAAGACTATAAACCTCAGTCAAGCACAATATTGCACTGTGTTAAATATTAATTATTGCACTCAGTAAAAATAAATAAATAAATAATAATAATAATAATATAGCACTGTACTAAAATATCTGCACCTGTCTGCACCTGCCTGCACCTGTCCGCCCCTCTGACCCTGCACCTGTCTGCTCCTCCAGACTCTGCTCCTGTTTGCTCCTGTCTGTACCTGTCTGCTCCTTTGTCTTTGCACCTGTCTGCTCCTGTCCTGTCTCCAGAGGGACTTGTTTTGTTTATTCTAAAATTTGTTTTTTATTTTGTTTTACAATATCAAATGAGTTAACTAATAGAATTTAGTGATTTACATATTTTGTGTTTGTGGTTTAGTCCGTGGGGCCTGTGGGGGATGTGGGTGGTACAGCAGGACCAGAGAGCATCTGGGTGGACCTGTGGTTTTTACCAGTCACAGGAGGCTGAACATTTGCCAAAAAAGGACAGAATGGACAGAATGACTGAACATGGACACTTGTCTGTTGCTGTTCACATGTAAATAAAGACACACCTCAGACACACCCTGGCACTGGCACACGACAGGTCCAGCCTGGACCTCAGAGTCATGTGAGAGAAAGTGACGAGCGCTGACTGCACAAACATCTGAGGCTCTCAAAACTCTGTCTGTGGATTGAACCTCCAACGCGTCTCCACTGAGGGGCTCTGCACTGACACGGTACTGTGCTTCATGTTATTTATTTTATTTACATACAAATATGACACTGTATGATATGAATATAATATAACTTTGTGTTCAGATGTTACACAATAAGAATATACAATTACATAAATACAGGTTTATATAACATCAGTTCATTGCAGTTGTCTCGATTTAAATAGTTTTTACTTATATTATTTACATAGATTTATTAAAATTGCCTTTTTTTCAAGAAGTCAGTGGAGTGAGATCGTTTTTATTCAAATGTTTAAAATGTTTGTCTTGAAATTAAAAAGATTGAAGATTGATTTACAAATAAATCGAAACATTTCCTACACAGTTCCTTGAATTGTCGCTCAGACATGTATTTGCTGCAGTCTGTTCTTCTTTCTTGAGTTTACTGTTGGACTGAGTCCAGTCATGTGCTCAGATCAGGTTTATCTGGTCTTCTCTATCTGATGTTGTTGGACAGTGTGCTGTGTAGACTCTTCAGAGCTTTAAGGCTTAGGGACGCCATTTTGAGGACCAGACAGTAGTGTTCATATGCAGAATGACAAGCCACGACAATGAGCGGTGATACAGATAGAGCACACTGCCGGTCAGTATTTTTAAATACTGTGTTTTTCTCCTATGGAGAAATGTGTCCTCTACATTTGACCAAACCTTCTACCTGCTGCTGGAAAAACTCAAGCCCAATTTATGGTCGTGCATAAAATCATCCACGTCACGATGCAGAGTCTGTGTCGCCGTGAACCCCGTCCGCAGTCGGTCGATGTGCACGTCTGAAATTTTCTAACTACGTGTCGAACCGACGCAAAGGATAACAGCTGTGATTGGTCGTCTCTGCATCTGCTCTACAGACATTTGTGGTACTCTGCTTTCCTGCTTCATTTTGTTTACACGAACGCCAGTTTTAAATCTATTAATCAAAAACGACAGCGACAAGGCGACAGCAGCAGTGAGCGCTGAGTCGACACAGAACTGTCATTCAGTGTTCAGGAGCAGGTGATCAGAATGACCCACGTCCAGGTCCAAGCCAAGACATGGATCAGGGCTCTTTAAGTTCAAGGTGTTGGTCAGTGTCTGGTCCAGAATCTGGTCCAGAGTCTGGTCCAGAGTCTGGTCCAGAGTCTGGTTCAGTGTCTGGTCAGAGTCTGGTCCAGAGTCTGGTTCAGTGTCTGGTTCAGAGTCTGGTTCAGTGTCTGGTTCAGAGTCTGGTCCAGTCTGGTTCAGTCTGGTTCAGAGTCTGGTTCAGTGTCTGGTTCAGAGTCTGGTTCAGTGTCTGGTCCAGAGTCTGGTCCAGAGTCTGGTCCAGAGTCTGGTTCAGAGTCTGGTCAGAGTCTGGTTCAGAGTCTGGTCCAGAGTCTGGTCCAGAGTCTGGTCCAGAGTCTGGTTCAGAGTCTGGTCCAGAGTCTGGTTCAGTGTCTGGTCCAGAGTCTGGTCCAGAGTCTGGTCCAGAGTCTGGTTCAGAGTCTGGTCGAGTGTCTGGTCCAGTGTCTGGTCCAGAGTCTGGTCCAGTGTCTGGTCCAGTGTCTGGTCCAGAGTCTGGTCCAGAGTCTGGTCCAGAGTCTGGTCCAGTGTCTGGTCCAGTGTCTGGTCCAGAGTCTGGTCCAGTGTCTGGTCCAGAGTCTGGTCCAGAGTTGGCCATATCATATCATGTTAAATATCCATGTGTTCTGTTTCAGACATGTCCTCCAGTAGAGACAGAAGTTCTGAGGAGACGTTCCTGTGCTCCATTTGTCTGGAGGTCTTCTCTGAGCCAGTGTCCATTCCATGTGGACACAGTTTTTGCAAACGCTGCATTTCTCGGACCTGGGACACTGACAGGTTCTACAAATGTCCTTTGTGCAACAGGAGTTACAACACAAAACCTGAGCTCAGTGTGAACATTCTGCTCCTGGAGATGGTCTCTCAGTTTAAACTAGAGGTTGAAAAGTCTCAGTCACAAGTGTCCAAACCTGGAGAGGTGCAGTGTGACGTGTGCTCTGAGCCCAAACTGAAGGCCCTCAAGTCCTGCCTGGTGTGTCTGTCCTCCTTCTGTGAGAGCCACCTCCAGCCTCATCTCACAGTCTCTGGGCTGAAAAAACACCAGCTGATGGAGCCTGTGGAAAAACCTGGAAGACAGGATGTGTCCCACACACCAGCGCCCCCTGGAGCTCTTCTGTGCCACTGACCAGAGCTGCGTCTGTACCATGTGTGTCCCTCAAAAGCACAAGAACCATGAGCTGTTGTCTCTGGAGGAGGCGTGTGAGCGCAGGAGGTCCTCTCTGCTGCAGACTCAGGTTCAGAGCCAGCACATGGTGGAGCAGAGGAGGCAGAAGATCCTAGAGATCGAGAGTTTCCTGGAGCTGAGTGAGACAGAGGCCCTCAGAGAGAGGGCTGCGGGGCTGCAGGTCTTCACTGCTCTCGTGCAGTTTGTTCAGAGGAGTATGGACCTCTTCTTAGAGGAGCTCCAGGAGAAGCAGAGCCGGAGCCACAGACGAGCCCAGGATCTGCTGCAGCGGCTGAAGCAGGAGATCTGTGATCTGGAGCAGAGCAGCGCTGAGGCCCAACGTCTCTCACGCTCTCATGACCCCCTCCACTTTCTACAGCGCTGCCCTGCACTCACGCCCCCTGCTGGGCTTAAGGAGTGGAGCAGTGTGAGCTCTGAGCTGGAGACATGTGAGGGCAGTGTGGCCCGGGCTCTGTCTGAGCTGGAGAACAGTCTCCCTCAGGAGTTTAATAAGCACTTTGAACAACTGCCTTTAAGATATGATCTCGTCAGAGTGCAGGTGGAGGTGACTCTGGACCCAGACACGGCTCATCCTGGTCTCGTTCTGTCTAAAGATCTCAAACAGGTTCATCACAGTGGTGTGAGGAAGAAGATCCCAGACTCTCCTCTGAGGTTTGATCCTTGTCCTTGTGCTTTAGGAAAACAGAGTTTCTCTTCAGGCAGGTTTTACTTCGAGGTTCAGGTCAAAGAGAAAACACACTGGGATTTAGGAGTGGCTCACGAGTCCATCAACAGGAAGGGAAAGATCAGTCTGAGCCCTAAAAATGGATTCTGGAGCATTAGACTGAAAAACAAACATGAATATAAAGCCTGTGCAGATCCTCCCGTCCACCTGTCTCCTCAGAGAGCTCCTCAGAAGGTCGGGGTGTTTGTGGACTATGGAAAGGGTCTGGTCTCCTTTTATGATGCAGATTCTGCAGATCTCCTCTACTCCTTCAGTGGCTGCTGCTTCAGGGAGAAGCTGCTTCCATATTTCAGCCCTGGTTTGAATCATGGAGGATCAAACTCTGCTCCTCTGGTCCTCACTGCACTCGAGCGAGGCAAAGATCGGCAGAAATAAATCAGTAGTGGAAAGATTGTTTGTGTGGTCAAACATGGAACTACCACGTTAACAAATCCTCATCAAAAACACGGGTCTAGATGTCATCCATGCATGTTTCAGTAATGTAGCGATCTTTCTTGAGGCTCTATTCGAACTGTCCTTTTGGCTTGAAAAATGATCCTGTGCAAGGCTCCGCCCACAATCCTATTTCACCCACGCTCCTACATGGTAATTTTTCATAAATATACAAAAGCA